TCCTTGTTCATCTGCTATCCTATTCTCCATCTTACTCTTAATTCTTTCAATAATAACTCTACCATACACTTTGCCAGGTATACTCAACAGACTTATCCCCCTATAATTTTTGCACTCTCTTTTATCCCCTTTGCCTTTATACAAAGGAACTATGCATGCTCTCTGCCAATCCCTAGGTACCTTACCCTCTTCCATACATTTATTAAATAATTGCACCAACCACTCCAAAACTATATCCCCACCTGCTTTTAACATTTCTATCTTTATCCCATCAATCCCGGCTGCCTTACCCCCTTTCATTTTACCTACTGCCTCACGAACTTCCCCCACACTCACAACTGGCTCTTCCTCACTCCTACAAGATGTTGTTCCTCTTTGCCCTATACACGAAATCACAGCTTCTCTATCTTCATCAACATTTAACAATTCCTCAAAATATTCCCTCCATCTTCCCAATACCTCTAACTCTCCATTTAATAACTCTCCTCTCCTATTTTTAACTGACAAATCCATTTGTTCTCTAGGCTTTCTTAACTTGTTAATCTCACTCCAAAACTTTTTCTTATTTTCAACAAAATTTGTTGATAACATCTACACCCACTCTCTCATTTGCTCTCTTTTTACATTGCTTCACCACTCTCTTAACCTCTCTCTTTTTCTCCATATACTCTTCCCTCCTTTCATCACTTCTACTTTGTAAAAACATCTCATATGCTAACTTTTTCTCCCTTACTACTCTCTTCACATCATCATTCCACCAATCGCTCCTCTTCCCTCCCGCACCCACTTTCCTGTAACCACAAACTTCTGCTGAACACTCTAACACTACTTTTTAAACCTACCCCATACCTCTTCGATCCCATTGCCTATGCTCTCATTAGCCCATCTATCCTCCAATAGCTGTTTATATCTTACCCTAACTGCCTCCTCTTTTAGTTTATAAACCTTCACCTCTCTCTTCCCTGATGCTTCTATTCTCCTTGTATCCCATCTACCTTTTACTCTATGTAGCTACAACTAGAAAGTGATCTGATATATCTGTGGCCCCTCTATAAACATGTACATCCTGAAGTCTACTCAACAGTCTTTTATCTACCAATACATAATACAACAAACTACTGTCATTTCGCCCTACATCATATCTTGTATACTTATTTATCCTCTTTTTCTTAAAATATGTATTACCTATAACTAAACCCCTTTCTATACAAAGTTCAATCAAAGGGCTCCCATTATCATTTACACCTGGCACCCCAAACTTACCTACCACACCCTCTCTAAAAGTTTCTCCTACTTTAGTATTCAGGTCCCCTACCACAATTACTCTCATTTGGTTCAAAGGCTCCTATACATTCACTTAACATCTCCCAAAATCTCTCTCTCTCCTCCTATGTATAATATGTAATAACAGTAATACTATGTACGTACAGTGGACCCTCGCCTAACGAACGCATCGCATAACGTTAAATCCGCCTAGCGATACATTTTAACGCAAAAATTTTGCCTCGGCTAGTGCTAAAAAACTCTCCCAACGTGATTCGTTCCATTTGAGACGTGTCCACGTGTGGCCTGAGTGCGCCACACTTGTCCCGTGGGTGCCAGTGTTTACAAGCCAGCCACCGCGGTCGCATCCAAACATACAATCGAAACATTTCATATTATCACAGTGTTTTTAGTGATTGCACCTGCAAAATGAGTCACCATGGGCCCCAAGAAAGCTTCTAGTGCCAGCCTTGTGGTAAAAAGGGTGAGAATTAGTATGGAAATTAAGAAAGATTTTGAAGAGTTTGGGGCTAACCCTGAGACGCCTATGCCAGTTGTGGAATCCATTGTGCCTACGTCAAAGATTAAGGAAATGTGTGCAAAGTGGGTTGAACTGCAAACCTTTATGGATGAAAATCACCCTAACACAGCTATTGCAAGCCGTGCTGGTGACTATTACAATGACAGTGTTATGGCCCATTTTAGACAAATCTTAAAGGAATGGGAGGTACAGAGCTCTATGGAAAGATATGTTGTGCGACAGAGGTCCAGTGACTCTCAAGTTGGTCCTAGTGGCATTAAAAGAAGAAGGGAAGTAACCCCGGAAAAGGACTTGACACCTCAAGTCCTAATGGAAGGGGATTCCCCTTCTAAACATTAACACCATCCACACTCTCCCCTCCTCCCATCCCATCAATCATCACCAAATCTTCAATAAAGGTAAGTGTCATGTAATTGTACATGTCTTCTTCAGTTTGTGTGTATTAAAATTAATATTTCACTTGGTAAAAAATTTTTTTTTTCATACTTTGGGGTGTCAGGAACGGATTAATTTGATTTCCATTATTTCTTATGGGGAAAATTAATTCGGCTAACGATAATTTCGCCTAACGTTGAGCTCCCAGGAACGGATTAATATCGTTAGGCGAGGGTCCACAGTACCGCGTATAATTTAGTTTGACAACACCACCACCAGATAGCTGTGTCAATCAAAACAATGCTCACCAGTGCACGTGTGCTTATGGAGCTACCCTCGCTGTATAAGGAATTCTCGTGGTTTTCTTACGTTTTGTGCAGATAATTCGCCAGATTTCTTTTTTCTAACCATTTGTCCTAAGAAAGCAAGTGGAAAGGACAGTGCTGAGAAGAAAAAGAGGATGATTTGCATGGAATTAAAGCAAGAAATCATTGATAAGGACAGACTATGTATGTAGTGTACACTGAGATAAACATAAAAATTGTACATGGCGACCACTCTCAGTGTGAGGGAAAAGTTCAATAGATAGGAGTAGAGAGGGAGTATATAGTAACAATAGTTTCATTGCCGGCTACTTGTTAAGGTAGGGTAAGTCGAGCTCCCGCTATTCCCGCCTTTTTCCCCTCCCCGAAAGTGATAGTTTCATTGCCGGCTACTTGTTAAGGTAGGGTAAGTCAAGCTCCCGCTATTCCCGCCTTTTTTCCCCCATCCCGAAAGTGATAGTTTGACTGCCGGCTGCTTGTTAAGGTAGGGTCAGTCTAGCTCCTGCTATCCCTTTCCCTCCTTCTTCCCCCCCCCCCCGAAAGGTGACGTGTGGGGCTCTGGTCAAACAGTAAATCACTCGACTCACAGCTCCCAACACTACTGTAAGTACATGCCTGCCTTGTATTCTAGTGGATTTATTGGTTGAAAGCTTCACTTTTGACCAATAATAAACTTAGTCTTTTCAGCCTTGCTCTAAGTTGACTGTTGTAATAATCACCACGTCTTTTAGGTATTGTACTTATCATGGAGAGTGATTATTTAAGCAGTGGGTAACCTGTCTATCTTTTCAGCTTGGATGACAGAGAGGGTCACCTGTCAATCAACGAGAAAAACTGAAGGAGACGGACTAACGTCCTGGAGACATCCCATATTGGATTTACTTGCCTGTGCACTTGTATGAAGAATCAGGACATAACCCCTCATCATTACAGCGGTCAAGAACCTGATCTCCTGTCATCGGGAAAGATTACTTACAGCCACTAGAACGAGCCAGTGGGTTGTCACCAACAACTGCGACCCCCCCCCCCCCCCATCATCAGCAACGGCTTCTATTACAACAATACGCAGTGTCACCAACACCAGACACCCAAGTTTTTAGCGTTGAATTCAGATAACATTTATATTTTTAATTTTTCATTTTCTTTCATGTAGGATCAGTATTTCATATTTAAGTGTTTTATATTTCATATTTCCTAAATAATAAAGTGTTTATATTTGTCAGTTTTTGTTCTTTTTCTATTCATTAATTTTCCTGAGGAGGAGCCAGCCTGAGTAATACTGACTGAAGTTGTTACAGGGCTGAGCAAGCCTTCACACTCGCAACCACAGTCTTCCTCCCTCCACTGTCCATGTAATGACATATTTTATTCATTCTAGAGTGTATATCAGGTTTCTGTGTTATTTATATTGTTTATTATGTCATATTAGATGTATTGTGACAGATAAATAAGCAATAGAGTTGATGTTAGGTTATTTTGTCATGCCTCCTGAGAGTGGGAATTCAGCTGGAATGGATTAATTGCATTTCAATTAATTTAAATGAGAAAAATTGATCCAGCAACAAATAAATCAGGATACGAAGTCCAATGAACGGATTAAATTTGTAAGCCGAAGTACCTGGAGTATAGCTGGAGGTTATTCTGGGGATCAATGCCCCCACGGCCTGGTCCACGACCAGGCCTCCCGGTGGATCAGGGCCTGATCAACCAGGCTGTTACTGCTGGCCGCCCCCAGTCCAATGTACGAACCACAGCCCGGCTGATCAGGGACTGACTTTAGGTACCTGTCCAACTCTTTCTTGAAGGCAGCCAGGGATCTATTGGTGATTCCCCTTATGCTTGGTGGGAGACTGTTGAACAGTCTTGGGTCCCGGACACTTATGGTGTTTTCTCTTAGTGTACCAATGGTGCCCCTACTTTTAATTGGGGGTATTTTAATAATAATGCCACTGTACTAGTTAGTATCATTGTTTAGTTTTTTGGTCTAGTTTGACCTCTTATGTTTGATATCAATATATTGATGATGTTGAGAGATGCACATATCTTAGTGTAATATAAGAATAAAAAGGCAGAATACCATGAGTGGAACAATACACAAATAACCCACACATAGGAGACTGAAACTTATGACAACATTTCAGTGAGGTGTGGTTAACTTTCATCTTCAGTGGCTTAAAAACTCTCTCATTTTTCATGCGCACATGCTGAGAGAGTATAGGTAAGACACTTTCTAGATCCATAGAGCAGGTGCATAGCAGCTATCCAAAGAGTCAAATGCCAGCAACAAGTCAGCATGTGACTAACCTGGCAAGTTGACTTTTGTTTGGTCTTAGAATTTTGAATGCAGAGCTTGGTTATATACGTACTTGACTTGTAATAGCGTACCTGTACTGATAACTTCATTTGCATTATAATCATAAATATTCATTGTTGTATTTTATTTTAGAAGTACCGTAAATTTCCTACTTTGAATTACCGGTGTGTGTTTACTATTCCAGCATGCCTCTGTACTCTTGGAGCCAAAATTCTTTGAGCTGAGTAACTTAGAATCAGAGGATGATGAGATTGTATTCATCCTTTTGGAGGCCCCTCTTCATGGCACAATAACCAAAGAAATTAATGGAGAGTCTCTTATATTTACTGAGGGTAAGAAATAATAGTACAATTATATATTTGTTTTAAACATATTTCTATAATAATGTAGTGTTCTTGCCTAGTTACTGGGTATCTGATATCTCTTATATTTTATTCATAGATGCAGTATTACCATGAACAGAATTTTTTGTTAGTATGGACATTTTGCAGCTTCTGGCAAGATAGTGATAGTTTGAAAGTGTTTATTTTTTGGGTCTCTGTCTCGGTGGGAGACGGTTAGCATGTTTAAAAAAATATGTATAAAAACATGTTCATGTACAGTGGAACTTCAGTTTTTGTATGGCCTAGTTTGTATGTAAAACTATAGTTATTCTCTATAAAATGTATTTTTTGTTAATATTTCCCATAAGAAATAATGTACAGTAGGGCCCCACTTATTCGGCAGGTTAGGTTCCAGGCTACTGCCGGAAAGCAAACTTCGTCGGAAAGCAGAACTCCATTTTTTCCATTTATAAATGCATATAAATGCCAGATAACAAGTTTACGCTAACATATATTAAATTAGCAATAGAACTAGGCATTAAAAAATAAACTAAATACACAGTACACTTATTATTTACCTCAAAATATTTGTAGTCTTAATGTAGGGCAAAAGGTGAGTAGTATTTACTCTAAGATCCACCATGAGGCCTGGTCACAGACTGGGCCGTAGGGGTGTTGACCCCCAGAACTCTCTCCAGGTAAACTCCAGGTCTCCAGGTAAGAGGTCAGGTGTGGTAGCCCTCCTGGCCACCCCACCCACACATACTATACTACGATGCTTAAAGCTTCCTAGAGCGATAAAATGCATATACAGTAGACGTATTACTTACCTTAAAATGTTTGTAGTCTTAATGGTCTTAATGTAGGGTGAGAGGTGAAAAGTATTTATTTGTAGAAAGTCGTGTGGGAGGTATGGCATCCTGCCTGGCCACTTATACCTACTACGACATTAAGCTTCCTAGATCGATAAAATGCATACATAGTACATTCATTAATTACCTTAAAATATTTGTAGTCTTAATGTAGGGTGAGAGGTGAGTTTTATTTGTATGAAGTCAGGTTGGGAAATATGGGTAGCCAGGAAGGGCAGCCCTCACCACCCCACCCACACATAATGTAAACAAACCAGATGAATGCATCTGGTTTTCGTCACAAGTCCTACAAGTTGCCTGGCTACCACAAGTCCTACAAGTTGCCTGGCTACCACAAGTCCTACAAGTTGCCTGGCTACCACAAGAAGGAAATATTGTCACATGTGGATGCAGATTGGTCCAACACGTGACTTATGGCTGAGTATAATTTGGCAAAGTCGACCCTCTGTGATATCAAGAAGGCTTGTGATAAGGTTATGGCCTACACGAGTGAGTTTTCTGCCGCCTCAAAAACTGGAAAAAGTGCAGAAAGAAAAGTGATGGTGAAGCCACAGAGCTTTGAACTCGATCATTGCATGATGAAGTGGTACCTACAACGACATAGTAGTGGTATGATGGTTCATGATGCCGAACTTCAAATGGCTGCAGAAAAATTCAGCAAGCAGATTGGCCTATCAGACTTCAAGGCATCTGAGGGTTGGCTCTTCCATTTTAAGTTGCGCCACAGACTGAGCAGAAAAAAAGTGTATGTGCAATCTCTGACTTATGCAGAGATTGCAGAATCAGTGTTGCACCCAGAACATTCTGAAAATGATGACGACGACCCAATGCCTCCAAGACCAAAAACTTCAGCAGCAAGGGCAGGTGTCGAAACACGTTTTGGAGTATCCACCGTCCACAGCCCATTTGAAAAGTTATGGTCCCATGGTCCGTGAAATCCGGGAGGCTGTTATTCGAGCCCAGAGTGTCTGGCCCCACCGCCAGACGACACTGGACTCGTTTTTTAACCTACAACGCTGTCGCTGATGACAATGTGACAAGGTACGGATGGCGATGTGATGGTATGGATGCACATTTTTCCCCCCCCTCGTACCCCTTTCAACGGTTCCCAAGAAAACGGGTTGTTTCAAAAAAGGTTTCAGCCAAATTTTAGTTCAGGGAATTTATGGAAAAAAAAGGGGTATCAACTGTAAAAGGGGGGCAGGAAGGAAAAAATTTATGGAATTTTATTTAGGAAATTTTAAAAGTAAAAAGAGGGAAAATGGATCTGGGGGAAGTTTTTTATTGTTCTTTATTTTAATTATTAAAAAAAATTAATGGAAGTTTTAAACATAAGGACAACCCATTTTGTCACCTGTTTTTGTGATAAATGGAAATGTTGATGCTAAAATTCCCACGGGTCACAGCGCCCATGGGAAAAGCCTATTTTCCAGGGACTGGATAAATGAAAGTAAGAATTTAATTATAGGGAATTTAATTAATAGATTTTAATTAAAGATCTTTAACCCATAACTGGCCCAAACTAGATCTATGCTTGCTAAAGCTCAAATGTGATCTTTGTTTATTTTTACTGTCAAATTTGGCATGTTTGGGCTAAAATGGAGCTAAAATGGGTTTCTAACCCTAGTGTGCTCTATTAAAAAATTGATTTAGTTTATTTGGGAGAAGTTTATGACAAAACTAAGCAACAGAAAAACACCAAGTTTACTGATGTCTGTGTATTAAACACTCCCTTTTAGAAGTTTTTTTTGCCAGAAGGCCCAATATGCCTTAAGAAAATGAAAATTCTGGAACTGTATTACATCTGGCGACCGGGTACTGGAGTGGGGCGGAGCCTGATTAGGTGTGCTCATTCTTCCTTTGATCATTCGTCCACGTCACATATTTCTCTTATCTGTTTATTTTTGTTTATTACAAAACCATTAGAAATCTTATACCAGTAACTGGTCCAAAAAATCCAGAAAGTGATCTGGAACTGTAATTTCAGCAGGCTGGCGGGCCCCGCTGGCTAGAGTGACTGGTGGTGGGATTCCTGTGTCTATTTCGTTATCTCTGTCTCTAATTGTCTCTATTCTACAAGGAACATAGTAAATACAATTTGCAGTGTTAATTCCTAGGGAACCAAAAAATCGACAAGTATATCTGGTGCTTTAGATTGACTGGGGACTACCAGATGGTTCTTGAGCAACTCCTTAGAGCCAACAAGAAGAACCAAGGATACAGACGCATGTTTATTACATGGAAACAAAAATTGAGGCTTGCAAATGTCCCTTTGTCATACAGAGTGTTATAAGCCACTCATTGCGCTGAAGTAAAGATAGACAAGTGAACACTTTCATCAAGTTCAAGGGGGTAGTAGTAGTAGTGAGTGTATACTACTATTACTACTTACCTATCTCTTACTTACTACTACTTACTACTCTTACTCATACTTCTCTCTATATTTATTTTACTTCTACAAACTATTACTTACTACTATACTACTACTTCCTCTACATACTTACTACTTTATACTACTTCTACTTCTACTATACTTCTACTATCTAACTACTTCTACTACTACTTTATTCTACTATTTCTACTACTACTTCTCCTTCTACTACTACCTTCTACTACTACTTCTTCTACTTTTCTATCTACTTCTACTACTACTCTACTTCTATCATACTTCTACTACTATTCTACTCTATTTCTATTTTCTACTCTATTCTACTTCTTCTTATCTTCTACTCTCCCTTAATTCTACTATACTTTATTCTATACAACTTTTCTATTATATTTACCTACTTACTTCTACTATTTATTACTACTACTTCTACTTTTACTTCTATACTACTCTACTTTCTATTTCTACTTCTACTACTACTTCTACTTCTACTACTTTACTACTTCTACTTTAAATACTCTTTCTTACTACTACTTTATACTACTTTATTTATACTACTTTACTACTATTCTACTAATCTATACTATTCTAACTTCTACTATATTCTACTACTATTCTACTCCATTTTTATACTATTCTATTCTACTTCTCTACTACTCTACTTTACTACTACTTCATACTACTACTTCTATACTACTTCTACTACTACTTCTATTTTACTACTTCTCTACTACTTCTACTTCTATACTACTCTACTCTACTATTATTTTCTATACTATTCTACTTCTATACTACTTTACTACATTTAAACTACTTTTTACTTCTACTTACTACTTCTACTACAAACTTCTACTTCTACTACTATTTTAAATACTATTCTACTTTATATACCTTCTACTTCTATTTTTCTATTTTACTAACTTTCTTCTATACTACTTCTATTACTACTTCTATTCTACTACTACTTCTACTACTACTTTACTTCTATTTACTACTTTACCTTACTTCTACTTTTACTTCTACTACTATTTATTACTTTACTCTATTTTCCTACTATTTTATTTTTCTCTACTTCTACTATACTTCTACAAACTACTTCTACTATTCTACTTCTATACTTTCTATACTACTTCTACTACTACTTCTACTACTACTTCTACTTCTACTACTACTTCTACTACTACTTCTACTTCTACTACTACTTCTACTTCTACTACTACTTCTACTACTACTTCTACTTCTACTTCTACTTCTACTTCTACTTCTACTACTACTTCTACTACTACTTCTACTCTACTTCTACTTCTACTACTACTTCTACTACTACTTTACTTCTATTTACTACTTCTACTTCTACTACTACTTCTACTACTTTACTTTATCTATTCTACTTTTACTACTTCTATATACTTTTCTACTTCTACTTCTACTTCTACTTCTACTACTACTACTTCTTCTTCTTCTTCTTATATACTCCAGTGTATCCAAAACACTGCTGGGACTTATAAATACTATGTATATATTTCTAAACAATGGTATGTGACTAAGGTAGGTAAAAATGTTCACCTGTCACTGTGTTTGTGACTATTTGAGCACTATTTCAGTACTTAACCCTTAAATGGTCCAAACAGATCGATGTTCAGATTTGTAATGCTACAAAAGTAGATCTACTTTTTTTTACATATTTTCAAATATAAAAAAAAAATGTAGATAAAAGTTTTTTTACATGTTTTCAAATGTAAAACAAAAAAGAAGATCTACATTTTTTTACATACTTTCAGATGCTGAAAAAATGTATATATACATTTGGACCGTTTAAGGGTTAATATTAGTGTCAGAACAGAGATTAACTATGAAATCACAAGGACTACAAATTGTCATTATCAGAACATAATTTTTTTTTTCTTCAACAAGTCGGCTGTCTCCCACTGAGGCAGGGTGACCCAAAAAGAAAGAAAATCCCCAAAAAGAAAATACTTTCATCATTCAACACTTTCACCTCACTCACACACAATCACTGTTTTTGCAGAGGTGCTTAGAATATAACAGTTTAGAAGCATATATGTATAAAGATACACAACATATCCCTCCAAACTGCCCAAAACCCAAACCCCTCCTTTAAAGTGCAGGCATTGTACTTCCCATTTCCAGGACTCAAGTCCCGGGTATATAAAATAACCGTTTCCCTGAATCCCTTCACTAAATATTACCCTGCTCACACTCCAACAGCTCATCAGGTCCCAAACACCATTCGTCTCCATTCACTCCTATGTAACATGCTCACACACGCTTTCTGGAAGTCTAAGCCCCTCGCCCACAAATCCTCCTTTACCCCCTCCCTCCGACCTTTTCAAGGACGACCCCTACCCGCCTTCCTTCCCCTACGATTTTATACGCTCTCCATGTCATTCTACTTTGATTCATTCTCTCTAAATGGGCCAAACCACCTCAACAAACCCTCTTCAGCCCTCTGACTAATACTTTTATTAACTCCACACCTTCTCCTAATTTCCATACTCTGAATTTTCTGCATAATATTCACATCACACATTGCCCTTAGACAGGACATCTCCACTGACTCCAACCGCCTCCTCACTGCAGCATTTACAACCCAAGCTTCACACCCATATAAGAGTGTTAGTACTACTATACTTTCATACATTCCCTTCTTTGCCTCCACAGATAACGTTTTTTGTCTCCACATATATACCTCAACACACCACTAGCCTTTTTTCCTTCATCAGTTCTATGATTAACCTCATCCTTCATAAATCCATTCGCTGACACTTTCAACTCCCAAATATCTGAAAACATTCACTTCTTCCATACTCCTCCTCCCCAATTTGATATACAAATTAAAAACAGAATGAGATAAAAAGGTATATCAGCAACACATCTGTAAGTGGCAGCGCTTCATGTTGCCGTCAGATGAGTGACAAGTACCGACTTTGTGGCCTTATATCTCTGTAAGTACTGACTCTAGAATTTTTTTTTACATTACTTTATGTAAAAAATTGTCCTCTTCATTTAAAAAAAAATATTTCTTTATTTTTCAAAATATTCGGAGTGCTGGGCGAGAAAACATAGATCTACGTTTGGACAGTTAAGAGGTTAAATAAGGAGTCTTATGAACTTGTTATTGTAGTCCATTTATAATATGACACTTATCTAACAGAGCAAAAACATAGTACACCATGGTATTGAATATTTAACACCATGGTATTGAATATTTAACACCATGGTATCTTGTCACAAGGGATATCTTATTCAGCTATTTTATTTAAAACTGTTTAGCATGAATTACTTCCACTAGTGGGCCTTACTCACCTGTAACATCATTTCCAACTGCACTTCACTTCTAGCTCCACTATGTAAATTTCTGGTCATGTACTTCTACTTAGGATAAGAAACTGACCATCTTCTATCAAGGATGAGAGACTAATAACCTTACCTCAAAACTACCCCTTCACTTCGACTGTCTCCAGTATTGTTATCACCTCTGTATTTGACTGATGAAACCTGCTGTGCAGGTGAAATGTTTTAGCAATAAAGATACTTAGTATTGAATATGTCTCACTCATCAACTTATCTGCATTGTGTACCATTTCTTCTTTCTTCTTTCAACACACCGGCCGTATCCCACCGAGGCAGGGTGGCCCAAAAGGAAAAAACGAAAGTTTCTCCTTTTACATTTAGTAATATATACAGGAGAAGGGGTTACTAGCCCCTTGCTCCCAGCATTTTAGTCGCTTCTTACAACACGCATGGCTTACGGAGGAAGAATTCTGTTCCACTTCCCTATGGAGAGAACAGGAAATAAACAAGAACAAGAACTAGTAAGACAATAGAAGAAAATGCAGAGGGTTGTGTACATATATATATGCTTATACATGTATGTGTAGTGTGACCTAAGTGTAAGTAGAAGTAGCAAGACGTACCTGAAATCTTGCATGTTTATGAGACAGAAAAAGGACACCAGCAATCCTACCATCACATAAAACAATTACAGGCTTTCGTTTTACACTCACTTGGCAGGACGGTAGTACCTCCCTGGGCGGTTGCTGTCTACCAACCTACTACCTGTGTGTGTACCATTTATAATATGATAATGAGTTGCAAGACATACTATTTATATTACAGGCATCCATTGCTTTATGCATTTGCATAATGTAAAATTTTTGTATGTACAGTTACTTCATTTCTACAAGAAATTTGCTGTGTGAGTAAATTCAGTCATATGCACATGGGGGAATGGAGGTGGATGCTGTGGTTTGGGCAAACTTGAGAAATTGTGTGTCAACACCCACTCATTTAAATAGTCTACCAATTTCCAATTTATGCACAACATTTAAGGACTCAGGATAACCAAGTATCTTTAAATGACATACTTGAAGCACACAGAATACAGTACAAGCACTACATTCTTATTCAGAGCCAGTCTCATGTGAATTGGCATTTATAACTCTGCTCATTCATGCCCCCTCCCCTCCCTTCTTACTGGAGTCACCCTGCCTTAGTGGGAAATGGCCATAGTTTCAAAAAAAATTTTGGAAATTCAGTATTTATATAATCATAAAAAATTCTTTTTTTTTTTTTTTTTACCATAATTTTCATCAGTAAATATGTACATATTGGTTACAGACAAGTTACATGACAAGTTGACCAAGTTACAAGCATCATCACTTATGAGAGGCACATCTCAGTTCAGTTGATTCTCAGTACACTTGTGTGACAAGGATCTCTTTATAAATTTATTGGGGATTTTCTTTCTTTTTGGGTCACCCTGCCTTGTTGGGAGATGGAAGACTTGTTGAAAAAAAAAAATTGGTTACAGATCATAACTGTAATTTCTCTTTTTCTTAGATGAAACAAAAGTTATCAGTAGTTGGCATCTTCACTTTACTGATGTCCATTCCAATGACGAGGACCTGGTATACACTCTCATCCATCAACCCCAGTATGGGACTCTCGTTAGCACCGAACCTACAGGAATTACACGAAGGCTTAATGAAACCCATAAGTTCACCCAGGCAGATATTATCTATGGCTTGGTTAACTACACATCAGACAGAGAAATTGGGATGAAAACTGTAACAGATAGTCTGGCTTTTAATGTTACAGATCCTCAAAACAATGTCCTCAGTAATCAGGTAATATACAACTTTAGTTCATAAGTTATTAAAGCAGTTTACAAACTAGTAATTATTAATTTATATTTTAGAAATCATTGGACTCAAGTAATTTAGAGCTTACTTCATTATACAGTGCTGTACTGTATTTCAAAATTGGCTTTGAAATACATTCAGACTGTGAATGATATATAAATCCATGTATTAAAAGAGCGAGAGTGATTTCCAGGATGTAGGTCAGAGAGGTTAATGAAATGTTTTACATTAAGTTAAAGATGTTAATGAAATATGGTGTACATTTACAGTCTGTTACATAAAAAATGTTTGAGTTGAGTTTGAGAAGAGTGGGATAAGATAAAAATATTGTAATGGAATGAGAACATAAAAATTCTGGCCACATGTCAAGTGATGATGCTATAGGATGGCACCTGCAGTGTTCCTTGGTTAATATATGGTACTGAGAGCTATCAAAATTTATGGTTCTGACAAGCAAATATAAAATATTTTTTCTATATAAAATAGGTGAAACAGGAAGCAATGTTAGACAGGAATTTAAGATATTTCAATAGAACTCCTTCTTTATTCCTACTTTATAATCTTTTTCATATCTTCATTAAGTATTATATATTTTGCTGTAGATTTTGAAGGTGATGATCCAAGGTGTGGATAACAAAGAGCCTGAAGTGGTAGTAGGAGACCCTGTTGTTGTGGCCGAGGGCAGCAGGATTGTGTTACCTCCAACCTCCATTACTGTCTTGGATATAGACACTCCATTATCCAGTCTCGTGGTTGTCATTGATGCACCTCCGATATTTGGATACTTAACAAACACTAATACAGGTGAGTATTAAAAATGAGAATTATAAAATTTATTCATTACTTTGTGGAGGTGATTTTATATAAGTATTACTTTAAATGGTTTTTATAAGCAAATTTTGTTTGCTAAATTTAAAAACTTCACTGTGATAAAAAAAATTTCCAGTGATGAAATATTTTAGGAATTATAGGACGACATTAGTCTGGTATGCAATTTAGTTTCAAGAAAATGTTGTGTAATATAGCTTATTAATTAAGCCTTTCAGTGCATCATGCTTCACTTGGTGGATTCCCAACGAAATGAAAAACGAAATAGCTTATATGAACTTATGCCTTTTCTAATACAGTGGACCCCCGGTTAACGATATTTTTTCACTCCATAAGTATGTTCAGGTGCCAGTACTGACCGAATTTATTCCCATAAGGAATATTGTGAAGTAGATTAGTCCATTTCAGACCCCCAAACATACACATACAAACGCACTTACATAAATACACTTACATAATTGGTCGCATTCGGAGGTAATCGTTATGCGGGGGTCCACTGTATTAGGAATCTAAGTTTTCTTTATCTAACACCTATTTTCTTTAAGGAAAGGGGCTGAAATTAACAACTTGGGTAATAATAGTCAGAATCGTTGAATATTTTTATTGAAAGTTCAAAAGGGTATGAGGATCATATCCTAGTCTTTCCATGAAGATTGCCTTAAAACAAAACAAACAAACAAAATTTGTTATTTTCACAATTATGACACATGCAAAATTGGGCATATCAGATGTTGAAGGTGATGGTACAGGATCAAGGAAAGCTCAATTGCTTTTACTGCATAGGCACAAGTAGGATACTACTATGTACACCTACCATCCGACTTACGACCTGCTCGACTTAGGACCACTCGACTTACGACCGTGTTTTTTATGCCAAATTTCTGGGAAATAAACAACTATTTGTGTTGTACAGTGTTTATCCTAAACCTTACAGTATAAAATACAGTACTAACAACATAAAAAGTAAAGTAAAACATGAAATACCAAAATAAAACAATAAAATAAAGTCATTACAAAAATGTTTTGTTGATATTCAGTAGTAAAGTTCGACTTACGACCATTTCGACTTACGATGGTTTCTCGGAACTGAACTCGGTCGTAAGTCGGATGGTAGGTGTATCTATTTCTTACAGAAAAAAAATCTAGAATTTTTTTTGGAGGATAATGTAATGTTCTACTTTTTCCTTTACAGTAAAATCAGTTGGGCTTCATTTCATCCTGCAGTCACTTTAAACACTTTTTGGTATTCATAATTTTGCATAAACATGTCATAAGCATCTACATAACAATTTTTTTTTGTCAGTCTTCATGGATCCTCTAGGATATGATCATCATGCCCTTCTGATTTATTATTCCCCCCCCCCCTCCTTTTAAAACATTCTTAGATAATCATTAAAAAAATCTAGAATTTTGTTGTTAATGTAGAGAATTTGAAAGTATTTAAAAGTTACATATAAATTCAAGCATAATCAAGAGTTTAAGGCCAATTTTTTGACAGAGTAGGGGTCAACTTTTTTTTTTAAATGAACTGGCCATATCCCACCGAGGTAGGGTGACCTAAAAAGAAAAACTAAAGTTTCCCTTTTTAAATTTAGTAATGTATACAGAAGAAGAGGTTATTAGTCCCTTGCTCCTGGCATTTTAGCCGCCTTCTACGACATGCATGGCTTACGGAGGAAGAATTCTGTTCCACTTCCCCATGGAGATAAGAGGAAATAAACAAGAACAAGAACTATCAAAAAAATTGAAAAAACCCAGAGGGGTGTGTATATATATATGCTTGTACATGAATTTGTAGTGTGACCTAAGTGTAAGTAGAAGTAGCAAAACGTCCTGAAATCTTGCACATTTATGAGACAGAAAAAAGACACCGGCAGTCCTACCATCAAGTAAAACAATGACAGGTTTCCGTTTCATACTCGCATAGCAGGATGGCAGTACCTCCCTGAGTGGTTGCTGTCTGCCAACCTACTACCTACAAACTAATCTTTCTACTGAAGAACACAAAAATAAAGTATCAACCATGTAAAGGAGGTCCTGCCTACAATCATACATTCCATGTTAGGCAGATCCAACTTGCATTCAGTCATTCTTATTCTTATATACAAACTTTTGCAGTGTTCCACTCATCTACAATTCTGTTATCAAATCATTCCTCTTCTATATCCTTTTTAAATCTGAATTTATCCAATTTGAATCCATTGTTTCAAGTTCTGTATTGAATAGACATGTTCAGCACTTTATTTGCAACCCAGCAGTGTGTGAAATGCTTGAGGATTTGAATCTTCACAGAGTTCTTGACACTATAAGCTCCCAGATGAGATTGGAGAGTATAGTGACCTGGCCATATTGAAGGATAACGAGTTGATGTTGAAGTGAAGACCTGCTTAGTGGGTTCTTTGTGCTAGTGCTACTGAGGTGTTAAGGATGTCTTTTTCTGAGATTTGAGCAGCGGTACCCATTACATCAATATGAAGCCATGTGACCTTTACTTCTAGCTCACATATAGGACATTTGTTGGGAACTGAGTGACACATGACTGAAAAGGCTAATGAATCTGTTAAGTCAGGTATTAAATGTATATCACAATATAATTTCAGAGTCAAAGATCACCTCTGAAGGGACATCACCAATGATGAAGTTTGCTGTGGTAGATTTGCAAGAAAGCAAAGTGACATATATTCAGTCACAGCATTGCTATCAAGAGCCTGTCCAAGATACTTTTATTTTTCATGTAACAGACGGCACTAATGAGTCTCCTGTCATGAGATTTAATATCACTATCCAGGTAATTTTCATCATTTTGAATGACTTATAATTATTATTATTATTACAATCATGATTAAGTGCTAAACCCACAAGGGTCATATAGCATTTTGCATGATTAACATCTAAAGATCTGAAATTTGTGTCAAAGTTAATAAAATCTCCCTTATTTTGTTTAAAGGTAGTTTTGTAATTATAATTTTTTCTCAAAAATTTATTTTTTATGTTAATTTCTGCATGAAACTATCACATGCACCTCAGTCCTAATTATACATTTTATTTTTTATTAACACATCGGCCATCTTCTACCAAGGCAGAATGGCCTCAAAAACAAAAACTTTTATTATCATTCACTCCATTACTGTTTTGCCAGAGGCACGCTTACGCTACAGTTATAAAACTGCAACATTAACGCCCCTCCTTCAGAGCGCAGGCACTGTATTTCCTATCTCCAGGACTCAATCCGGCCTACCGGACTTGAGTCCTGAATCCCTTCATGAATGTTACTTTGCTCACACTCCAACAGCACATCAAGTCCTAAAAACCACTTGTCTCTATTTGCTCCTATCTAACATACTCACGCATGCTTGCTGGACGTCCAAGCCCCTCTCACACAAAACCGTCTTTACCCCCTCCCTCCAACCTTTCCTAGGCTGACCCCTACCCCACCTTCCCTCCACTACAGATTTATACACTCTCGAGGTCATTCTGTTTTGTTCCATCCTCTCTACTTGTCCGAACCACCTCAACAACCCCTCCTCAGCCCCCTGGATAATAGTTTTGGTAATCCCGCACCTCCTCCTAATTTCCAAACTACAAATTCTCTGCATTATATTCACACCACACATTGCCCTCAGACATGACATCTCCACTGCCTCCAGCCTTCTCCTTGTTGCAACATTCACCACCCATGCTTCACATCCATATAAGAGTGTTGGTATAACTATACTCTCATACATTTCCCTCTTTGCTTCCGTTGACAAAGTTCTGTGTCCACAGACTCTTAAGTGCACCACTCACCTTTTTTTCCTCATCAGTTCTGTGATTCACCTCATTTTTAATACACCTATCTGCTGACATGTCCACTCCTAAATATCTGAATACATTCACCCCTCCATACTCTCTCCCTCCAGTCTGATATCCAATATTTCGTTATGTAATTTTTTGTTATCCTCATCACCTTACTCTTTCCTATATTCACTTTTAATTTTCTTCTTTTTCATACCCTACCAAACTCATCCCCCAACCTCTGCAACTTCTCTTCAGAATCTCCCAAAAGCACAGTGTCATCAGCAAAGAGCAACTGTGACAACTCCCACTTTGTGTTAGATTCTTTATATTTTAACCCCACACCTCTTGCCAACACCCGAGCATTCACATCTCTTACAACCCCATCTATAAATGTATTGAACAACCATGGTGACATCACACATCCTTGTCTAAGTCCTACTTTTACTGGAAATAATCTTTCTCTCTCCTACATAGTCTAACCTGAACCTCACTATCCTCATAAAAACTCTTCACTGCTTTCAGTAACCTACCTTCTATTCCATACATTTGCAACATCTGCCACATTGCCCCTGTATCCACCCTGTCATATGCCTTTTCCAAATTCATAAATGCCACAAAAGCCTCTTTACCCTTATCTAAATACTGTTCACCTGTGTTTCACTGCAAACACTTGGTCTACACACCCCCTACCTTTCCTAAAGCTTTCTTGTTCATCTGTTATCCTACTCTCTGTCTTACTCTTAATTCTTTCAATAATAACTCTACCATACACTTTACCATTTATATCTCAAGAGTTATTTTCTATATGGGTATTGTAATAATACTGGAGGTTTTTTATATACAGCACATCACTATAAAGTGTAAGTAGGTATGCTGTTGCTTCTCATAATTGAATAATTTATCATTCATAATTAGTGTAACTTTTAAATAACAAAAAAAAGGCACAATACCGTGACTGGAATGATACACAGATAACCTGCACATAGAAGAGAGGAGCTTATGATGATGTTTCGGTCCGACTTGGACCATTTACAAAGTCACACTAGCGAAAAGGAGAGAGGAAATTTCTGATTGAAGGAATTGAGGATCACATATACGGAGAGCACGGAGAAAGTGGGAGATAAGAACACTTTTCTTATCATGCTTCCTCTGTCAAGAAAAGTGTTTATCTCCCTCTTTCTCCATGCTCTCTGCATATGTGATCCTTAATTCCTTCAATCAGAAATTTCCACTCTTCATAATTCATTTTCCCGTCTTGGCTACCCTTCCCATTTCATAGACTCTGCCTTCTCACGTGCTAAACATAATTTCTTCTCTCCCAAACTCTCTACTCCCGGGAACTCTTCTGTCCTCTGCCTTCCCTACATTCCTGGTCTTTCTAATCTCAACAACTCTCTCCATTCCTTAGACATCAAACTAACTTTCCGCCAGACTAACACTCTTCGCACTAATCTCGTTCATACCTCTCCTCCCTCTACAGATGCTCCTGGTGTCTACTCTATTTCTTGTTCCTCCTGTCCTAAGCTCCTCTCTTCTATGTGCGAGTTATTTGTGTATAGTGTAACTTTTGTGCGGAGCTCTATACAGAAGTAACTGATCTATAAACCACTGAGGTTAGTACATGAAAATTTGTTAAAAAATAATTCAAAGTAAACCCAAAAGGAGTGTTAAGTTGTTAAGTGTTTTGAATTAAGCTTTAATTTTTTGACTAAATATCAACAAATTCACATGTTAATACTTAAGTTTTTTGTGTTTTGCTTACTGCAGTTTACTACCTTATAGCTTTACCTCACCAGCATTGGAGGTTAAAACATACTGTGTGTGACAGTATGAAGATGAATAATGTGAAAGTTGTTGGTCATCACTTGCCTGACTTGTTAATAACTGATACTTGGTTTTGGTTACACTATTCATATTTTGGCACCAAAAAATAACTTAGTCTAACCTTTCTAAAATTAACATAATACAGTTATCCGGTCAGATTCTGGAGGATTACTTTCGTGGAGGTCCTGTGAAACTAGAAACCTTGAATAATATAAATTTTTTTTGTTTTGTTTCAGAGACCATGTCTTTGAAATATATCACTCTAATCTGGTTAATAGGGATATTCTTAATAAACAGTGACTTCAGTTAAAAGAGATTTGAGTATGAGAAAGCCAGAGACCAAGAAAAGCATTAGATAATTTTAATCTATTTGCTGTTTGCCCTTCAGTAAAGAGGCCAGACAATCAGAATCTCTGAAGACACGTCCACACACTGAGAGTCACTTGTCAATGTCCTTTCACTCCCCAGATCCAGTTCAGAATCTGTATATACGGAAGCCTGCAAATTCTTAAGGATGATTGTTTAATATTGTATTAGCCAGATTTGCATACTGGAGTTGGGTAGTTCCATGCTTGCACCCTGAAGGATGGTCAGGGATGTTGCAGTTTGGAAGATTATTTGAATTGTGACAAGACAAACTATTGAATGAATAATGGGTCTACCTAACTTTTTTGGGAAGCAGCCTAGTATCTACTTAATATTGTTTAACAATGAAATATAATAATAATATTATTATTATTATTATTGATATTATTATATGTATTATTGATATTTGCAGTTTTTTACATTGAATTTATGCTCTACTAGTTTAGCAAAACTATGGTGGCTGAATAAGCCAGGTTGTCAGATTTGGCTTTAAAAAAATGACTTACAGTAAAATAATATTTATAGTATGTAGATTAATATAGATTTATGAGGTCTTAATTTTATTATCATTTCTTTCTTCACAGCTTATAAATGATGAATCACCAGTGATCCTTGGTGAGCAAGTGGTCATCGACAAGAGCCAGACCATAGTTATCCGCAACCAGTCACTCTTCATATCTGATACAGACACTGAACCGAGGACCTCGTTGTTAAAATTGTGCAGCCTCCTAGTCATGGTGAGAGTTCAAAATTTTCGTTCTCTTTAGTCAATGGGAAATCATTTTTTTCTAATTTGTACCCAAGGCAAATGCCATAAATTGAAATTGCATATCCAGAAGTGTTATGCTGTTTCAGTTTTGTGTAATAAGTTTTATCATATTCCTCATTTCTTTCCTGTGTCCTTAAGGATCTCTCCACAGAAAGTTGTCTCCAGACTCTTCCATTAAAAACAGTGAACTTCTTACTAGAGGACAGAGCTTCACTTTTCAAGATCTTCTGGATGAACTTATTCTCTATAGCCATGATGGCTCCAGAGACCCAGAAGACATCATGGAAATTATGGTAATCAGTCTTAAATAACTGTAACTAAAATATGATGATAGAAGTACATATAATATGCTCAACATGTTTTGCCTTCTCTGGGCTCTACAGCTGATCTTGCACACAGTGTACATATACAGTACTATAATTAATGAGTTTTTATTTATTGTGTTTGAGCGCACTTTGAGGCATTGTTTTTCGCTGTAATTATGAACATTAATCAATTTCAGGTTAGTGATAGTAACCATGAGACTGGTGGAATTGTTGAATTCATAATTCTTCAGAAGACAGATGAGGCTCCAAGACTGCGCCTTAACCACGGCCTCACACTCAAGGCTGGTGAGATGTCAGTTATCTCTCCCTCACTTCTCATAGCTGAGGATGTTGATTCTGAGACAGAGATGATCAAATATGTTGTAACCAGTCTGCCAGTATCTGGGAAACTTGAGATATACCAACCTCATTATGATAAATGGAAAACATTAAGTGTTGGTTCAGTGTTCATGCAAAAAGACATCTTAAATGGCAATGTCCGGTAAGAAGATTGCATTTGTTCTGCACATCCTTGTATGTGTATTGATTTAATATCTGTTAATACAAATCATAACTAAACATATCATATTTTTTATATGTCATCCCAAGTAATATGATTGGCAGATTTGTGCATAAAAAGGATACACCAAGTGGAACAGACACCTTACGTTTTAATCTACAAGATACAGAAGGGAATGTTATGATGGATCAGGCACTCTCCATCACTGTGTTGGAAGACAGAATTCCCCCACACATCACTTTAAATGTGGCTCTCAACCTTATGGAAGATGCTTCAGCTGCTATAACAGCAGAGCTTCTTTCAGCGACTGATTCTGAGATGGATCCTATGGAACTAAGATATATTGTAAGCACAGTATACTAAGTTATCTACTATTGTTGTGCTGTTTGTATTATAAGAATGCGATGTCATGAATTCTATCACAAGAATTCTTATTTCAAATTTGTTATTTATCTTGCTAAGCTGGTGAGTGGACCAGATCACGGTCGACTTGAGCTAACAACGGCTCCCAATAAGGCTGTGTCAACATGGACCCAAAGAGCACTGGAGTTGGGGATGCTGCGTTACCATCATCAAACCATGGATGAAAGCACCAAAGATCAGTTTAATTTTATTGTTTCAGATGGGTTAGTAGACATTAATATTTAGTCTAATCTTTTTAAGATTTAACTTTTTTGTATTAAACGGTTTTACACTAATTTCATTTTTATAAAATTTTCCTTGTGATATTTTTAACTGAGAAATTACCAGCTACACTGTATACTGTATTTAAAAAAATAATTTAACTATACATACTATGATAGAGTAAACCTTTGTGCAACATGGTTTAAGTGTTGCCAGAGATGCTATGCATTCTGTTGGTCTTCAGATTATTGTATGGCCTGTGTAGCAGTACTGAAATACAGTGGAACCTCAGTACTCGAACAATTCGGTATTAGAATGCTTTGTTCGGTAAACATATTGCTTGGTAGTCAGCCGTTTGCTCAGCACTTGACCAAACAAACACTACCTGCCAGAACTTCGCTGTAAATTATTTTGTGTTTCTTCATATTTTTTTATATTATTTGTATAAATAAGTCACCATGGGGCCAAAGAGGGTTAATGATAACAGCCAACCAAAAAAAAAATTGTTCGGGAAAAATTCTTTCTGTACTCGAACACATCAGCACTCGAACAGCCTTCTGGAACCAATTAAGTTCGAGTGCCAAGGTTCCACTGTATAGATTAGCATTTTTAATTTTTGTATTTGAACAACATATGTAATAACCACTACAAATGTTATAACAAATTGTTTTACAGAAAAATCCAAAAGTCATAAATATAAAAGAAAGTGTCTTGAGTTAAAGTCAAATACTAAAAACTTGTAAACCAGCTTAATCATCCAGTAGTTATAAGTTAATTTTAAGGCTGCCATTACTGCTCTTCTTAAGTGGGGGCTTTCAATAAAGTATGCCAATAATGTCAACCAATCCTGCGCAAGGGGCTTGGACTTCCAGCAAGCATGCATGAGCGTGTTAGATAGCGAATGGAGACAAATGGTTTTTAGGACTTGACGTGCTGTTAAAGTGTGAGTAAGGTAACATTTATGAAGGGGTTCAGGGAAACCGGCAGGCCGGACTTGAGTCCTGGAGATGGGAAGTACAGTGTCTACACTCTGAAGGAGGGGTGTTAATGTTGCAGTTTTATGAATATAGTGTAAGTGCACATCTGGCAAGACAGTGATAGAGTGAATGATGATGAAAATTTTTCTTTTTTGGGCCACCCTGCCTTGGTGGGAGATGGCCGATGTGTTAAAAAATAAAAAAAAATTAGAAATAAAAATTATTTTTTTTTAACACATTGGCCATCTCTCACTGAGGCATTTAAATTCCTGAAAACCACCTATTTCAAATAATTCATGTCTTGCAGAAATGAGATGTCAGCACATTTCTGGCAAGACAGAGACTGAATTAGTGGTAGTTTTTTTCTAGTCACCCTAACTGCAGAGATGACCAATGTTTTAAACAAATAAAAGACATGGACTTAAATTCCAAAAATTTTGACACAAAAATGTTAAAAATTATAATGGCAGCACAACATTCATGTAGCCCAGCCTCCTACTCTCCGAGAGTTTATAATTTTATTACTGTAATAGTATAATTCTAGGTAGTAGGTTGGTAGACAGCAACCACCCAGGGAGGTACTATCATCCTGTGGTAGTAGGTTGGTAGACAGCAACCACCCAGGGGGTACTATCATCCTGTGGTAGTAGGTTGGTAGACAGCAACCACCCAGGGAGGTACTACCATCCTGTGGTAGTAGGTTGGTAGACAGCAACCACCCAGGGGGGTACTATCATCCTGTGGTAGTAGGTTGGTAGACAGCAACCACCCAGGGAGGTACTACCATCCTGTGGTAGTAGGCTGGTAACAGCAACACCCAGGGAGTACTATGTCTTGTGGTAGTAGGTTGGTAGACAGCAACCACCCAGGGAGGTACTACCATCCTGTGGTAGTAGGTGGGTAGACAACAACCACCCAGGGAGGTACTACTGTCCTGTGGTAGTAGGTTGGTAGACAGCAACCACCCAGGGAGGTACTACTGTCTTGTGGTAGTAGGTTGGTACAGTAACCACCCAGGGAGGCACTACCATCCTGTGGTAGTAGATTGGTAGACAGCAACCACCCAGGGAGATACTACTGTCCTGTGGTAGTAGGTTGGTACAGCAACCACCCAGGGAGGTACTACCATCCTGTGGTAGTAGGTTGGTAGACAAAAACCAACCAGGGAGGTACTACTGTCCTGTGGTAGTAGGTTGGTAGACAGCAACCACCCAGGGAGGTACTACTGTCTTGTGGTAGTAGGTTGGTACAGTAACCACCCAGGGAGGCACTACCATCCTGTGGTAGTAGATTGGTAGACAGCAACCACCCAGGGAGATACTACTGTCCTGTGGTAGTAGGTTGGTACAACAACCACCCAGGGAGGTACTACTGTCTTGTGGTAGTAGGTTGGTACAGTAACCACCCAGGGAGATACTACTGTCTTGTGGTAGTAGGTTGGTACAGTAACCACCCAGGGAGGCACTACCATCCTGTGGTAGTAGATTGGTAGACAGCAACCACCCAGGGAGATACTACTGTCCTGTGGTAGTAGGTTGGTACAGCAACCACCCAGGGAGATACTACTGTCCTGTGGTAGTAGGTTGGTAGACAGCAACCACCCAGGGAGGTATTACTGTCCTGTGGTAGTAGGTTGGTAGACAGCAACCACCCAGGGAGGTATTACTGTCCTGTGGTAGTAGGTTGGTAGACAGCAACCACCCAGGGAGGTACTACCATCCTGTGGTAGTAGCTTGGTAGACAGCAACCACCCAGGGAGGTACTACCATCCTGTGGTAGTAGGTTGGTGGACAGCAACCACCCAGGGAGGTACTACTGTCCTGTGGTAGTAGGTTGGTAGACAACCACCCAGGGAGGTACTACCATCCTGTGGTAGTAGGTTGGTAGACAGCAACCACCCAGGGAGGTACTACCATCCTGTGGTAGTAGGTTGGTAGACAGCAACCACCCAGGGAGGTACTACCATCCTGTGGTAGTAGGTTGGTAGACAGCAACTACCCAGGGAGGTACTACTGTCCTGTGGTAGTAGGTCGGTAGACAGCAACCACCCAGGGAGGTACTACTGTCCTGTGGTAGGTTGGTAGACAGCAACCACCCAGGGAGGTACTACTGTCTTGTGGTAGTAGGTTGGTACAGTAACCACCCAGGGAGGCACTACCATCCTGTGGTAGTAGATTGGTAGACAGCAACCACCCAGGGAGATACTACTGTCCTGTGGTAGTAGGTTGGTACAGCAACCACCCAGGGAGGTACTACTGTCCTGTGGTAGTAGGTTGGTAGACAGCAACCACCCAGGGAGGTATTACTGTCCTGTGGTAGTAGGTTGGTAGACAATAACCACCCAGGGAGGTACTACCATCCTGTGGTAGTAGCTTGGTAGACAGCAACCACCCAGGGAGGTACTACCATCCTGTGGTAGTAGGTTGGTAGACAGCAACCACCCAGGGAGGTACTACTGTCCTGTGGTAGTAGGTTGGTAAACAACAACCACCCAGGGAGGTACTACCATCCTGTGGTAGTAGGTTGGTAGACAGCAACCACCAGGAGGTATACCATCCTGTGGTAGTAGGTTGGTAGACAGCAACTACCCAGGGAGGTACTACTGTCCTGTGGTAGTAGGTCGGTAGACAGCAACCACCCAGGGAGGTACTACTGTCCTGTGGTGGGTTGGTAGACAGCAACCACCCAGGGAGGTACTGCTGTCCTGTGGTAGTAGGTTGGTAGACAGCAACCACCCAGGGAGGTACTACTGTCCTGTGGTGGGTTGGTAGACAGCAACCACCCAGGGAGGTACTACTGTCCTGTGGTAGTAGGTTGGTAGACAGCAACTACCCAGGGAGGTACTACCATCCTGTGGTAGTAGGTTGGTTGACAGCAACCACCCAGGGAGGCACTACCGTCTTGCCAAGTGAGTTTAAAGCGGAAGCCTGTACTTGTTTTACAGGATGGTAGGATTGCTGGTGTCTTTTCTCTGTCTCGTAAACATGCAAGATTTCAGGTAAGTCTCGCTACTTCTACAGTGGACCCCTGCCTTACGATATTGATCCGTTCCTGAGAGCTCATCGTAAGGCGAAATTATCGTTAGCCGAATTAATTTTTCCCATAAGAAATAATGGAAATCAAATAAATCCGTGCAAGACACCCCAAAGTATGAAAGAAAAAATTTTTTACCACATGAAATATTAATTTTAATACACACAAACTGAGGAAGACATGCACAATTACTACTCTACTAAGAATAGAATACATGACACTTACCTTTATTGAAGATCTGGTGATGATTGATGGGATGGGAGGAGGGGAGAATGTGGAAGTTATTGTTTAGAAGGGGAATCCCCTTCCATTAGGACTTGAGGTAGCCAGTCCTTTTCCAGGGTTACTTCCCTTCTTCTTTTAATGCCACTAGGACCAGCTTGAGAGTCACTGGACCTCTGTCGCACAACAAATTTGTCCATAGAGGTCTGTACCTCCCGTTCCTTTAAGATTTGCCTAAAATGGGCCACAACATTGGCATTGTAATAGTCACCAGCACGGCTTGCAATACCTGTTTTAGGGTGATTTTCATCCATAAAGGTTTGCAGTTCAACCCACTTTGCACACATTTCCTTAATCTTTGAAGTAGGCACAATGGATTCCACAACTGGCATAGGCTTCTCAGGGTTAACCCCAAACCCTTCAAAATCTTTCTTAATTTCCATACTAATTCTCACCCTTTTTACCACAGGGTTGGCACTAGAAACTTTCTTGGGGCCCATGGTGACTTATTTTAGTTACAAGCACAAAAAACACTGGGATAAGGTGAAATGTACCGAATGTATTCGTGGATGCGACTGCACTGGCTGGCTTGTTAACACTGGCACCCATGGGGCAGCTGAGGCCACATGTGGGACGCGTCCCGGACGAATCACGTAAGGCGAGTTTTTTATCATGAGGCGAGGCAAAATTTTTACATTCAAATGCTTTGTATGGCGGATTTAAGGTAACTCGATGCGTTTGTACGGCAGGGGTCCACTGTACTTACACTTAGGTCACGTTACACATGCATGTACAAGCATATATATACACACCCCTCTGGGTTTTCTTCTATTTTCTTACTAGATATTGTTCTTGTTTATTTCCTCTTATCTTCGTGGGGAAGTGGAACAGAATTCTTCCTCCATAAGCCATGTGTGTCGTAAGAAGTGACTAAAATGCCAGGAGCAAGGGGCTAGTAACCCCTTCTCCTATGTTATTTTTTTTTTTTTATTATCACACTGGCCGATTCCCACAAAGGCAGGGTGGCCCGAAAAAGAAAAACTTTCACCATCATTCACTCCATCACTGTCTTGCCAGAAGGGTGCTTTACACTACAGTTTTTAAACTGCAACATTAACACCCCTCCTTCTCCTATGTACATTACTAAATTTAAAAAGAGAAATTTTTCTTTTTCTTTTTGGGCCACTCTGCCTTGGTGGGATATGGCCAGTGCATTGAAAGAAGAAAGAATAGTATAACAAATTGCTTGTTAATCAAAGACATAAATAATAATAAGCCTAGAGGTTTACAAGTAATAGTTTATATTAGTCACAGCCCATTGAGAATTCTTACAAAATCCAGCTACAGTATTGTAAAATTTCAGTTTTAAGATTAACTTTTTTTTTCCAGTTACAACAACGTAAGCCAGTCTTTCAATATCAACATCACTCCTGTTGATGATGAAATACCCCTTCTCATCACAAACACCATCAAAGTTCAAGAAGGTACCAAGAAAATCATCTCACAGTTTGAACTGGAGGCATTAGATGCTGACACCAAAGATGAGTTCATCACCTTCAGTATTGTACGACCTCCTCAACATGGACAACTGCAGATTATAGAAGTGAAGGCTCTTTGGATTCTAAGGTTAGTAATATAGATTTCATGATTAAAGAAATAATTAGAATAGGAGAATACAAATTATAGTAATTTGCTATGATCTTTACAATAGTTAATATTAAAGAAGTGAAAAAATTATTAAAATATTTACAGGTTTCTCTTACAGACAAGATCCATTCTTGAACAAGTCTTTTATACTTTAATTCTGAAGTTGTTAAGTTGGTTGAGAAAGTAATTTCCCTTTTAAAATATTTGCTAGTTAAAAAAAAAATTGCAGTTTTCAAGTAAGTTAATAATATTTGTAATTATCTTACATGTACTGTCTCTTCCGAAGATTTTCACAATGCTAGATGTTTATGATGGAGGAGTGTCATATCTTCATGATGGCTCTAACACATCCCGGGACTCCTTTGACATCACAGTGTCAGACTCTACTAACAAAATGTACCGGCATGGGAGGGGTAAGGAAGCTACCACTGAGCCTTCCACTGTCTATGTGGAGATTTCCTCAGTAGATGATGGGACACCAATATTAACAGCAAATAGAGGGCTTCAGTATTTGCAACAAGAGGAAGGAAAGGTGCGTTACATTATAGATATGTGTGATGAAGCACGTTGAAAAATCTCTAGGTTGATTCTGAATGTAGCAATGCAATGCATATATGCATGTAAGACTTATGAGAAAAATAGAAACATGAATCTAGACAGCATGCAAGATTAATTAGATAAGTGGTTGGTCTAATTCAGCCTCCACAAATGCAGGATTGTGAGGATAAGGGAAGGGACAAGGAAACCACACACAGAGTATAAACTTGATGGACAGAGGCTGAAGACCTCACTCAGAGAAAGACCTAGGGTTGAGTATAGTGCCTGGTGTATCATGAGAGGCTCACATCAGCCAGATAACCTCTGCAGTCAATGCTTGTCTAGCAGATCTACAAGTAGCCTTCAAGAAACTCAGTAAAGAGTAATTCCATGCCCTTTATACAGCATATGTCAAGCCTATCTTGGAGTATGCAGTACTAGTATGGAACTCACACCTGAAGTATACAGTGAGGCTTGTTCCAGATCTTAGGGGTATGAGCTATAAGGAGAGGCTGACATACTTGAATAATGACATTGGAAGACAGAACAACTAGGGGACACGTAATAACAACATACAAAATACTTAGAAGACTTTATGAGGTAGACAGGGATAGGCTGTTTGAGAGGTAAGAAACAAGTACTCGGGGATACAGCTGGAAGTTAAAAACACACATGAGCCATAGGGATGTCAAGCAGTATTATTTCTTCAATTTCAGAGTAATCAAAGAGTGAAATGATCTCTATGAGGAAGTGATGGAGACAAGCTCCATACATAGTTTCAAGAGTATAATTACAAATACAGATTTTTATTTCAAAAGTACTATACAAAACATTCAGGTACAATAAGACTCGTAAGGCTAGGAGAGAGTGAATCTGGCAAGTGGCAAGTTGAAAGACAGGGCCAGAAACTGAGACTTGACCCCTGCAACCACAAATAGGTGAGTATACAGGAAAAGTATATCAAAGCTACTGGGGTAAGCAACTTGGCTCTTAATATGCCAAATTTATATCCATCCAAAAAAATCTTCAGGTCCTTGAGTCTTGGAGTGAAGACAATGTTGTGGGAACATAGCATTGATGTTATTGTGATAATGCCATGCCCATTTTTTTATATACAACAGAGCCCTGCTTTTCGGCATTCCGCTAATACGGCGATCTCAAATTATGACCCAAAACTTTCTGTACGGCAAGTGGTCTTTCAAATACGGTGCGGGCCACCCAGTTTGTGTACATTCTTCATGAGCACATCTCTCTATTATGTAATAATAATCACTCTTGGGCACATTAAATGTCTAATATTACATCAATATAGACATTTTTATTAATCCATCTATGATATTTTCTTCAAAATTATATAAGAAACACGTTACATAGCATATAAACATGCTGTTTATATTGTATGGAGGTGTGGTTGCCGAGTGGAGGGAAAACATTATGTAACACTGATAATAATCACTCTTGGGCACATTGAATGTCTTATTAACCCTTTCAGGGTCCCCAGGCCCTCTCCCAGACTTGTTCTCAGGGTCGCCCAAATTTAAAAAAAAAAAAAAAAAAAAAAAAAATTCTTAAGAATAGATAATCTTTTCCCAATCATAATAACACCAAAAGTATGAAATTTGATGGAAAACTTACAGAATTGTGCTCTCGTGAAGTTAGCGGTCTCGACGATGTTTACTCATCGGCGATTTTGCAAACTTTGAGCCCTATTTTCGGCTAATTCCAGTGTACTAGTTGACAAAAATCATAACTATTTCGCTAGAACTTCATTTTTTCTATCGAATGAGTACAAGAATCCACCATTTACCGATTTCAGCTATCCAATACAGTGGTCAGAATTTAGCAATTTTGCCAATTTCACACAAATTTCAAAAGATGCCAATTTCCAAATAGGGTCCAGAATAAACAAGAAAGACATTCCTGGCACTAAAATAACATTTCTTCTGTTCATTAGTCATGCCCCCATGCCCCTCTTATATTCTTTTGCTTTCCACTTTGAATTTTTTATTCTCACAAAAAAATAGAAGATTTACTGTTATGCAGACTACTGAATTAGTGTAGAAATAGTATAAATAATATCGGCGCACTTGTGAAAGAATATTAGACTCACCAGTTGACGTGTATTGGATGCTTAGCATGATTTGTTCACTTTTGAACTTTGGTAAAAATCGAACATTTCTGCTATTTTGAGCTCAATTTCAAGGTACATGTACTTTTCATTGTAAAACCAGTCAAAATCATCTTAATTTCTGTAATATGTCTTCCATTCTATAAAATGAGACCAGGAAAACTAGAATACAACAATAAATACCATGCGAAAATACAGTGCAAAGTCGCTGTTTTAATCCTAAAACACGCTCAAAGTTTTTTTTTCTCATTACGCACTGTGTGCTGCAGGATTTTTTTTATACTGCGCGCACTGACCACATAAACCCATTCTTTCATATGTAGGCCTACCAGCTTTCTCTCACTAGATTTGAGGGCACTAGAATTTAGGCGTACTAGTACGTCAAAAACCCTGGTGCGTAAGCCGTACTAGTACGTCCGAAACCCTGAAAGAGTTAATATAGACATTTTCATTAATCCATCTATTATATTTCCACCAAAATTATATAAGAAACACGTTACATAACATATAAACATTTTGTTTATATACTATGGAGGTGTGGTAGCCAGGCGGAGGGAAAACATTACGTCACTCCCCTTAATACATAACATAACGCTTTTGTTGACAATTCTTGGCATGAATTATTCATTACTTCTCCCTTTGTTTATGATGGCATCTAAAGGTAGTTGTTAGAAACGTTAAACTCAGTGAACATGGTATGTCGATAGTAATAATATGGCTCTGGGCCACATTAAATATCGTGTAGCTATGTAGGTAGGTGTAGGTATGTAGCCCAGGTGGACTATATACCTACATTATTATTATAATTGATAATTATACGTATTACTGGGAACGCTTGAAGTACCTGAATCTGTACTCCCTGGACTGCAGGCGAGAAAGATACATGATTATATACACCTGGAAAATCCTAGAGGGACTAGTACCAAATTTGCACACGAAAATCACTCCTTACAAAAGCAAAAGACTTGGCAGACGATGCAACATCCCTCCAATGAAAAGCAGGGGTGCCAATAGCACGTTAAGAGACAACACAATAAATGTCAGGGGCCCAAGAGTGTTCAACTGCCTCCCAGCATACATAAGGGGCATTGCCAATAGACCCCTGGCTGTCTTCAAGCAGGCACTGGACCAGCACCTAAAGTTGGTACATGACCAGCCGGGCTGTGGTTCGTACGGTGAATTGCGTGCAGCCAGCAGTAACAGCCTGGTTGATCAGGCCCTGATCCACCATGAGGCCTGGTCACAGACCATTCCGCGGGGGCGTTGACCCCCGGAACTCTCTCCAGGTAAACTCCAGGTATGTGTACCTGTACCTAAGTAAACTTACACGCTGTGCTGGCATGCAAGAACACATTAAAATCACTAAAAGTGTCTTATTTGTCTTGAAGATGCCATATTAATAATGATAATAATAACACAATAATAATCACTCTAAGGAGCATTAAATATTGTATAAAACGTTAATATAGACATTTTGCTTAATCCATCTAAATACACCCCACAGTAGAATAAATTAACATAAATATGAGATGTGGTAGCCAGGTGACTTGTAGGACTTGTGGTAGCCAGGCAACTTGTGGTAGCCAGGCAACTTGTAGGACTTGTGGTAGCCAGGCAACTTGTAGGACTTGTGATAGCCAGGCAACTTGTAGGACTTGTGGTAGCCAGGCAACTTGTAGGACTTGTGGTAGCCAGGCAACTTGGGGTAGCCAGGCAACTTGTAGGACTTGTGGTAGCCAGGCAACTTGGGGTAGCCAGGCAACTTGTGGTAGCCAAGCAACTTGTAGGACTTGTGGTAGCCAGGCAACTTGTAGGACTTGTGATAGCCAGGCAACTTGTAGGACTTGTGGTAGCCAGGCAACTTGTAGGACTTGTGGTAGCCAGGCAACTTGTAGGACTTGTGGTAGCCAGGCAACTTGGGGTAGCCAGGCAACTTGTGGTAGCCAAGCAACTTGTAGGACTTGTGGTAGCCAGGCAACTTGTAGGACTTGTGATAGCCAGGCAACTTGTAGGACTTGTGGTAGCCAGGCAACTTGTAGGACTTGTAGTAGCCAGGCAACTTGTAGGACTTGTGGTAGCCAGGCAACTTGTAGGACTTGTGGTAGCCAGGCAACTTGTAGGAGTTGTGGTAGCCAGGCAACTTGCAGGAGTTCTGGTAGCCAGGCAACTTGGGGTAGCCAGGCAACTTGTGGTAGCCAAGCAATTTGTAGGACTTGTGGTAGCCAGGCAACTTGTAGGACTTGTGGTAGCCAGGCAACTTGTAGGACTTGTGGTAGCCAGGCAACTTGTAGGACTTGTGGTAGCCAGGCAACTTGTAGGACTTGTGGTAGCCAGGCAACTTGTAGGACTTGTGGTAGCCAGGCAACTTGTAGGACTTGTGGTAGCCAGGCAACTTGTAGGACTTGTGGTAGCCAGGCAACTTGTAGGACTTGTGGTAGCCAGGCAACTTGTAGTCCAACATCAGAGAAAATGTGTCACTATAATATTACTGGGGGTAGCTAGAAAATTATTCCTTTCGTATGCCTTCACTCAGGGTGTCATTTCTTCTAAAAATGGTGTTACATGAGAATGGGAATGATTCTCTCTATTTATTCTACTGTATCAGCGTGGAGACAACTTGTACACATTGTAAAGTGACCAAAACCAGACACGTCCACCTAGTTTGTTTACATTATGTGTGGGTGGGGTGGGGTGGTGAGGGCTGCCCTTCCTGTGTCCATACTTCCCAACTTTACTTCATACAACTAAACTCGCATCTCACCCTACATTAAGACTACAAATATTTTAAGGTAATTAATGAGCATACTATATATATACATTTTATCACTCTATGGAGCTTAATGTCGTAGTAGGTGGGAGTGACCAGGCAGGATCCCATGCCTCCCACACGACTTTCTACAAATACTTTTCACCTCTAACCCTACATTAAGACCATTAAGGCTACAAATATTTTAAGGTAAGTAATGCATGTACTGTCTATGCATTTTATCGCTCTAGGGAGCTTTAAGCATTTTAGTATAGTATGTGTGGGTGGGATGGCCAGGAGGGCTACCACACCTGACTTCTTAGTGTAAATACTACTCACCTTTTGCCCTACATTAAGACTACAAATATTTGGAGGTAAATAATGAGTGTACTGTGTGTGTATTTTACTTTGTAATGCCTAGTTCTATTCCTAACTTAATATGTTAGTGTAAACTTGTTATCTGGTATTTATATGCATTTATAAATGGGAAAAATGGAGTTCTGCTTTCCAGTGAAGTCTGCTTTCCGGCAGTAGCCTGGAACCTAACCTGGCGAATAAGTGGTGCCCTACTATACTTTGTTGCACCTCTTTACCATTTTTAAACCTATGATTTTTCTTCTTTATATCACATTTACATTGTATAACCTCCAGATTTCAACAATTTCTCCTTTACTACAGTATTTGTTTCATTTCAAGGAAATTTCTTTAATTCAAAAAAATTGATGGAGATTAGGCTGCTTCTGTATTAAGTAACTAAGCCTGTAATGGTGAGGGATATTACTGTATTATTACACAAAGGAGATTTTGTAATTAATACTACCTTTTACTTTTTTTTAAATTTAAACTTTGCTGATCCTTTAATTGCTGTCCTCACTACTAAGACATCCAGTTTTCTTTCATTCATACCATCTACAATCATTCATTTCTTTACATTGATTTTACCACTGTCTCACTGTAGCTGGTTATTTAATCAGGACTCCACTACCACTTATGCTCAATGACCCACATAAGTTTACTGCTGTAAATTTAATATAATGCTACAGATTTTTTATAAAATGATGCTTGAATGTATGGCAAAGATTATGTGATGAACTTTAGGTGGCTTAAAGATAGTGGTACAGTAACTCAGTGTAGTATTTATGGATGACTTACTAATATACATAACTTTTTATAGGCCCAAAACCTGATCACAGTACATGAACTCCACGTTGAGGATGAAGACACACTGCCTGAGAGTCTACAGTTTACTGTTACACGTTCCCCTGCTCATGGTGTTCTTAGGCTTTCTACTCATGAAAGACCAGTGTCTTCATTTACACAAGGTAAACAAAAATTCAATGAATATCTATTTTTCCTCGTGGAATTTGCCACCCTCCCCATCACTTGATGGGGAGGGTGGCATGGAAGTACCCCATTACTTGATGGGGGTGCTTCCATGCCAAACAGGAGCATGTTAAACATTCAATTTACACTTTACTGTCCTGTGTGTTTCTTAAGGGAATAAGTAATAAACAGTAACAATTTTATTTACAAAGATGATGTACATCCATATTAGATGGTATGATTTAAGCTCACATATATTGTAAAGCATTACGGGTCTTAAGATTAAGCAAACCCTTCCCCCAAACATTTATAGAATATTTAAGGTTAGATTATATAACTGCAAAATGATGTAATATAATTAAGATGCATGAATATATAATAATTAAACTCAAGATCATTAACTAACAAAACTCTGATTATTACAACAGTATTGTTAGATTATAATCATATAAATCCAGAGGGGTTTGGGAGATTGGCAGTGTGGAGGGGTATGGTATATATCTTTATATATGCTTCTAAACTGTTGTATCTGGGCACCTCTGCAAAGACAGTGATTATGTGTAAGTGAGGTGAAAGTGTTGAATGATGAAAGTATTTTCTTTTTGGGGATTTTCTTTCTTTTTGGGTGACCCTGACTCGGTGGGAGACAGCCGACTTGTTGAAAAAAAAAAAAATCCAGAATGTAATATAAGTTGCATGAAGGTGAAATAATTAAGTGCAATGATCACACTATTAACAGAAACTAATTATTTCAATAGCAGTATCAAAATGAAGGGACAGTAACATAAAAAAGAGAATAGAAAAAATAGGGTGTACAAAAATAATAGTGAAGATAGGAGTGTTTGAATATGAAAACTGGACAAAATTTTTTATAGGCTGTTATGTGCAGCCAGCACTAACAGCATGGTTGATCAGGCCCTGATCCACTGTGAGGCCTGGTCATGAACCAGGCCAAGGGGGCATTGACCCCTGAAACCCCTTCCAGGTATAGGTTCCAGTTACCTTAGAATTTAGATAGTTACTGTATATTGATTTTCATAAATCATATCAGGTCTAGGAGGTGCTTTAAACAATATTTTTGAAGCCATTGGCAGATGAGGAATTTTAGAACTGAAGCACAGATCCAGTTCCCTACATGAAGAGCCCCTCACCAGAATCAAGGAACTCCCTTGATGGGTTTTCTGGTAGAATGTTCCAGATTATGGAGCCTTTTATGTGTTTTGTGTTATGAGTTTCTACTCTGGTTGAATTGAACATGTCAGACATTGGAGAGGTATTTGTTTAATGTATTATGCCTTTTCATTCTATTGCAGCTCACTGAGAAGAGTTTCAGGTATCATATACTTTACTAGCTGTTTCATCACTTTGGATGGGAGGTTTGTTGTTTACCTAGATCAATTTCCTCAGTCTTGACAAATTTACTGGAACCCAGTATTTGTTAAAATGTTTTCCAGGTCTTTCTTTCAACACACCAGCCGTATCCCACCAAGGCGGGGTGGCCCAAAAGGAAAAAAGAAAGTTTCTCCTTTTACATTTAGTAATACGTATATACAGGAGAAGAGGTTACTAGCCCCTTGTTCCCGGCATTTTAGTCGCCTCTTACAACACTCATGGCTTACGGAGGAAGAATTCTGTTCCACTTCCCCATGGAGATAAGAGGAAATAAACAAGAATATGAACTAGAAAGAAAATAGAAGAAAACCCAGAGGGGTGTGTATATATGTGCTTGTACATGTATGTGTAGTGTGACCTAAGTGTAAGTAGAAGTAGCAAGACATACCTGAAATCTTGCATGTTCATGAGACAGAAAAAAGGACACCAGCAATCCTACCATCATGTAAAACAATTACAGGCTTTTGTTTTACACTCACTTGGCAGGACAGTAGTACCTCCCTGGGCGGTTGCTGTCCACCAACCTGCTACCTGTTTTCCAGGTATTTTTTTTTTTATATATATTCCTCTTTTGATTCATTTGATTTGTTTTGGTTTATTTTATTTCTTGATTAGCTTGTATTGTAATGTATTAGTCCCAACTTGAATTATTTCTCATAGTTATTCTTTGTGTTAATGAATCTGAGGATACTGTTGTTGTGACCTGTTGGTTAAGGCTACAAGGAAAGGATTCTTCCCAATATGATTTAAATGAAAAGCTGTGAGTGGGTTTAAGATATTGTTTCAAGAAACACACAGGAAAGTATAGATAAAAGTATAATAAATAGGAGTTAAGATTAGCCTGATATTGTTTCATTCATGAGGCAAAGTGAAAATCCTATCAGAGTTCAAAATATTATTTATATTAATTACATTAATTCTTCTTATTCTTTTGTAATTTATACAGGAGAAAGGGTTGCTAGCCAATTGCTTCTAGTGTTTCTTCTTTTTCAGGTCACCCTGCCTCAGTGAGAAACAGCCGGTGTGTTAATAAAAAAAATATAAATTATATTAATAATGATTGATTGTTTATATTTCATAAACATGTGGTATATGAGAAATAATCTCTTTGTAGTTGCAAGAGTGTAATGCCATATTAGACTCATTCTTTTAATGAAGATTTTTTCTTTTTTTTTTTTCAGCTGACATTATTGCAGGTCGCATATACTATGAACTCATCACCTATGCACATAACATAACCAGTGATGAATTTATCTTTGAAGTAACTGACAGTAAACCCAACACAGTATCAGGCAATGTCTTTCATATTCAATGGGCATGGCTTATAATGGCACACCGAGAATATAATGTTACAGAAACTGGTGGTGTAGTTAAAGTTTTTGTGAAAAGAACTGGAAATCTGAAGCAACATTCTACAGTTACTTGCATCACTCATGGAGGATCTGCAAAGGGAAAGTCAAAAGAACCACAGGATGTAGACTTCAGATTTGTTTCTGAACCAGTACAGTTTAGTGAGGGAGAGACAGAAAAATACTGCACAATACCCATTCATGATGATGACAGATTTGAAGGCCCTGAGGCTTTTAGTGTTAAATTAGTTGACCCAAATTATGCATTGCTTGGAAAGCCAAGGAAGTCAGTGGTAACAATTATTGACAATGAAGATAAGCCTTCAGTTGTTTTTGAAACCAGTCATTTCATAATCAATGAAACCGAAGGTCCCATTTTCGCTCGCTTAAAGCGTAAAGGAGATATCAGCCTTCCTGTGTCAGTGATATGTATTAGTGAGGATGGTTCTGCTAAAGGCTCTGAGCCAACTCAAATAACAAATGAAACCGATTTTGTCCACCGCCCTCATGACGAATCTTCTAGAGTTGTTTTTCCTCCTGGTATTCAGGTTTCCTCTTGTAATGTAAGAATTATTGATGACTCAATATTTGAAGTTAATGAAGATTTCCGATTAATACTGACAGATCCATCTGATGGTGTGACACTTGGCGAGATCCAAGAAGCCTTTGTCACCATTAGAGGGCCCAATGACCAGAGTACAATTGGTTTCATTCAATTACAATACAATATATCAGAAAGTGAAAGTGAGGTGTCAGTGTATCTAGAACGTACTGGTGTGGATTTAAGTTACCCATCAACTGTTTGGTGTGCAACCAAATCCTATACACCTGAGGAAGCCCAGCCATCTCTTGACTATGTTCCCCATTCAGAACAAGTGAATTTCAAGGAGGGGCAAGAAAGAGCAACATGTACTATTAATCTTATTGATGATAAAGTAAATCCAAAGCTAGAGGGTCCAGAAAGATTTAGAGTTTTCATCAGCACTGCTCAGAATGCATCTATTAACAGTGCTGCCTCAGAAACTGTGGTAACAATATTTGATGAGGAAGATGCCCCTTCTATACAGTTTACCATGCCTGAAGTAAGGGTCAGAGAAAATCAGACTATTGTAAAAATCCCAATCCAGCGCTCCGGGGATTTGAGTAGAGTGTCAACCGTTTATTGCTTTACACGTCAACGTTCAGCAAAGGCAGGTATTGATTTCATGGAACGACCCAATACCAAAGATTCAGTAATTATTTTCCCTAAAGGGGTCTCTAAAGTTGAATGTGAAGTTGGTCTTCTAGATGACTTGGTATATGAGAAAGAAGAAAGGTTTATAGTCAAATTGTCTCACCCAAGTTCCCTCTCAGACCTTCGTCCATACATTGGAGAAAATAAAATAGTTCGAGTAACTATTTTAGATTGGGAGGACAGACCAAGAGTGTCTCTACAACATGGTGCATACACAGTTGCTGAACCCCAAGCAAGAGATCTAACATCTAGCCTCAGTGTGCCTATAATCAGACTTGGCGATACATCACAGGTTTCCCGAGTGATGGTTTCTACTAGAGACAATTCAGCTGCTTCAGGCTCAGACTACCATCCACTTCATACTCAAGTGGAGTTTGTACCAGGGGATACAGTGTAAGTGATTATGTATTTTAATTTCTTCATTCATAATAAATTAGTGAAAGTTATAAAAAAGCAAAATTAAAATATAATACAGTAGCTTTTAATAAATAGGCATAGAATATACTGTATATAATTTGAGAAATTGAATATCAGATTGGAGAGGGAGTATGGAGGAAATTGATGTACTATTTAGATAGCTTGGAGTGGATATGTCAGCAAATGGGCCTGAAACATGAGGTGAATCATAGAATAGATAAAGGTGAAAAGAGTGGGTGGTGTATTGATGCATCTGTGGAAAGAATGATGGTTATCTATGGAGTTAATATACCTAAGTATAGTGGTACAAACACTTTCATATGGTTGTGAGAGGTGGGTTTTGAACATTGCAGTGAGGTGGAGAGCAATGTGTGGTGTGAATATCCTGCAGAGAATTCAGAGCATAGAAAATATAAGGCAGTGTGGAGTCACCAGTTGTGTAATGCAAAGGGCTAAGGAGGGAGTTGTTGAGTTGGTTTGGGCATGTACTGAAGATGGAGAGTGATAGGATAACAAAGGGGGTACAGTAGACCATTGATTAACATGCAGTCTGTTAACACTTGTTTTGCATTAACATGACTGAAAAATTGCAGAATGTTTTCTTTGAATATGCTGTATTTATCATTTAACATGAAGTAAATGTAGGGGAAAATACGGCACACTGCAGGTTCATTTCCCTCCGTCTTGTGGTGAGCCTACGGTGAGACCATTATCTTACAGGTAGGTCTACTTAATGTATACAATCTCCCTTGCCTCATTTCTCTGTGTATACTCATTCAGTACCACTCAGCTTGTGTTAGTGAATCAGTTTTGATCTTGTCATCCCTTCTTGTCTCTGGATAGTACCCATGGCACCCAAGAAAAATGTGAGTGATCCTGAAAGTGCAAGCAAAGAAAAAGCATAGGCATAAAAGTCTTGGTGTTTTGAAGAAAATTGAGATAGTAAATAAGCTTAAAAGTAGTGCATATGTGATGCGGGCTGCACACGTTTATGGCATGAATGAGGCATCATTTCATATACTCAGGAAGTACAATGGAACCTCAACTTATGAGTGCCCCAACATACAAGTTTTTCGAGTTATGAGTCCGTCGCTCAGTCAGTTTTTTGCTCTGAGTTACGAGCCAAAATTCGAGTGACGAGTGAGCTTCAGAACGCCACCACTAATTGGCGCAGCAAATGCCACAACATCCGCTCAGTAGTGCATGTATTTACCTTGCTGTGGAAGCATTTCTCTTGTGTTATGCTTGCGTTTTGTGCAGTTATTTTGCCAAATTTGTTTTTTGTAACCATGGGTCCTAAGAAAGTAAGTGCAAGGACAGTGCTGAGAAGAAAAAGAGGATGATGTCCATTGAATTAAAGAATGAAATCATAGATAAACACGAGCAAGGTGTGCGGGATGTGGACTTGGCCAGGCAGTACCAGCGTAATACTTCTATGATGTGTACGATACCAAAGCAGGAGGAGTCAATAAAGGCTATAGCACCAGCCAAGCAATAAAGTGTAGCGATAAGAGTGTAGCAGTTAAGTTCAGCGATAAATTATAGCATTAAGAGTGTTTACCTGGAGAGAGTTCCGGGGGTCAACGCCCCCGCGGAACGGTCTGTGACCAGGCCTCCTGGTGGATCAGAGCCTGATCAACCAGGCTGTTGCTGCTGGCTGCACGCAAACCAACGTACGAGCCACAGCCCGGCTGGTCAGGAACCGACTTTAGGTGCTTGTCCAGTGCCAGCTTGAAGACTGCCAGGGGTCTGTTGGTAATCCCCCTTATGTATGCTGGGAGGCAGTTGAACAGTCTCGGGCCCCTGACACTTATTGTATGGTCTCTTAACGTGCTAGTGACACCCCTGCTTTTCATTGGGGGATGTTGCATCGTCTGCCAAGTCTTTTGCTTTCGTAGTGAGTGATTTTCGTGTGCAAGTTCGGTACTAATCCCTCTAGGATTTTCCAGGTGTATATAATCATGTATCTCTCCCACCTGCGTTCCAGAGAATACAGTTTTAAGAACCTCAAGCGCTTCCAGTAATTGAGATGTTTTATCTCCGTTATGCGCACCGTGAAGGTTCTCTGTACATTTTCTAGGTCAGCAATTTCACCTGCCTTGAAAGGTGCTGTTAGTGTGCAGCAATATTCCAGCCTAGATAGAACAAGTGTCCTGAAGAGTGTCATCATGGGCTTGGCCTCCCTAGTTTTGAAGGTTCTCATTATCCATCCTGTCATTTTTCTAGCAGATGCAATTGATACAATGTTATGGTCCTTGAAGGTGAGATCCTCCGACATGATCACTCCCAGGTCTTTGACGTTGGTGTTTCGCTCTATTTTGTGGCCAGAATTTGTTTTGTACTCTGATGAAGATTTAATTTCCTCGTGTTTACCATATCTGAGTAATTGAAATTTCTCATCGTTGAACTTCATATTGTTTTCTGCAGCCCACTGAAAGATTTGGTTGATGTCCACCTGGAGCCTTGCAGTATCTGCAATGGAAGACACTGTCATGCAGATTCAGGTGTCATCTGCAAAGGAAGACACGGTGCTGTGGCTGACATCCTTGTCTATGTCGATGAGGAACAAGATGGGAGCGAGTACTGTGCCTTGTGGAACAGAGCTTTTCACCGTAGCTGCCTCGGACTTTACTCTGTTGACGACTACTCTCTGTGTTCTGTTAGTGAGGAAATTATAGATCCATCGACCAACTTTTCCTGTTATTTCTTTAGCACGCATTTTGTGCACTATTACGCCATGGTCACACTTGTCGAAGGCTTTTGCAAAGTCTGTATATATTACATCTGCATTCTTTTTGTCTTCTAGTGCATTTAGGACCTTGTCGTAGTGAACTGAGTCATATTGGGACTTGAGTAGCTCACTCATTTCCTTGCTGTCATCTGTGTAGGACCCATCTTGTTTAAGTAGGGGCCCAATACTGGACGTTGTTCTCGACTTTGATTTGCCATAGGAGAAGAAATACTTTGGGTTTCTTTCGATTTCATTTATGGCTTTTAGTTCTTCCTGCGATTCCTTACTCCTATAAGATTCCTTTAGCTTAAGTTCGATGCTTGCTATTTCTCTGACCAGTGTCTCCCTACGCATTTCAGATATATTGACCTCTTTTAGCCGCTCTGTTATTCTTTTCCGTCGCCTGTAAAGGGAGCGCCTGTCTCTTTCTATTTTACATCTACTCCTCCTTTTTCTTAGAGGAATAAGCCTTGTGCATACATCGAGTGCCACCAAGTTAATCTGCTCTAGGCATACGTTGGGGTCTGTGTTGCTTAGTATATCTTCCCAGCTTATATCGGTTAGGACTTGGTTTACTTGGTCCCACTTTATGTTTTTGTTATTGAAATTGAATTTGGTGAATGCTCCCTCGTGACTAGTCTCATTATGTTGGTCTGGGGCTCCACGCATACATGTCTGAACTCAATTATGTTGTGATCTGAGTACTATATTGTTTTTGATATGGTGACATTTCTTATCAGATCATCATTGTTAGTGAAGATGAGGTAGTGTATTCTCCAGTCTAGTAGGCTCTATTATTTGCTGGTTTAAATTGAATTTTGTGCAGAGATTTAAAAGCTCGTGTGAGTGTGAGTTTTCATCAGAGCTGCCTCCTGGTGTTATTACTGCAACAATATTATTTGCTATATTCCTCCATTTTAGGTGCCTTAAGTTGAAATCCCCCAGGAGCAAGATGTTGGGTGCAGGAGCTGGAAGATTTTCCAGACAGTGGTCAATTTTTAACAGCTGTTCCTGGAATTGCTGGGATGTTGCATCCGGAGGCTTGTAGACTACCACAATGACTAGGTTTTGGTTCTCGACCTTTACTGCTAAAACTTCCACTACATCATTTGAGGCATTAAGCAGTTCTGTGCAAACAAGTGACTGCAAAGTACAGGCCAACCTCCCCTTTTGCCTGTTCACTCTGTCACATCTGTATAGGTTGTAACCTGGGATTCATATTTCGTTGTCCAAGTGATCCTTTATGTGGGTCTCAGTGAAAGCCGCGAACATTGCCTTTGTCTCTGCAAGCAGTCCACGGATGAAAGGTATTTTGTTGTTTGTTGCTGGCTTTAGACCCTGTATATTTGCAAAGAAGAATGTCATCGGACTGGTGGTATTGTTGGTACTGGGGGGGGGGGGGTCCCGGCATTAGTATCTGTATCTGTTGGTTTGGAGTGGAGGCCATCGACTGTGGTTCCACTCCAGGAATGACTGGATTTGGTGTACGATTTCTGCCATTTCCTGCCAGTTTTTTTTCTTCCTGGCACTAAAAAACCTCTCCCTCTTGAGTGGCTGTGACTACCCAGGTTTTCCCATGGCCTGGATGTTTTGTATCTTTTTGTCCCCTTTAGATGGTATGCCTGGCAATTTAAGTTATAGCACAGTCTTTCCTGTACTGAAGAGGTACACATTTCAGGGTGAAAAAGCTTACAGGAAGGGAGTTTGCATTTTCCTGTTGTCATATGGGCACGGCATTTTCTAGGGTGGTCATAGTTGCTCGTCCCGTCTGTTTTTCCAGATTTCCCATGTCTGCAGATACCAAGTGCATAGTATGTGCACAGGCTTGGTTTCCGTTTGCCTTGGGTTTCTGTGACTGTATTCCCTGTTGGTGCATGTTTCCCTGTCTTATTTCTATCCTCCCTAGCACCAACAATGGAGCTCCCACCAGTTGTTTTTGGTAATATATCCTCACTATTGCTAGTGGAGTCCTCTTGTTTGCTATTTCCTGTGGTATTTCTAGTTTGCAATATTGGTTTTATCTTATCTTTGACTACACTTGTTTCCCCACTACGGCTCCTGTCCCCTATGAGGTCATTTATATGTATTCCTTCCTGCGTATAATTCCCGACTACCTGGATAAAATCTCCAGCTTCACCATTACTGTCTCCCAGGACAGCACCTCCAGCTTCACCATTACTGTCTCCCAGGACAGCACTATCAGCCCCACATTTACTGACTACCAGGACATCACCTCCAGCCTTACAGTTTCTGACTACATGGCCAGTATCAAGGGCAGTACCATTCAGCCCAGACTTTTTATGTTCCCATCTGTTGTAGAAAGCTTCCAGGTTGTCTATGAAAGCAGCTTTGATGTTATCCTCTTTTAATACCCTTGTGTATGGTGTAGCAAGTAGCCTATCTTTTCCACCCTCCACCTCTACCCTCCACCTCCACCAGCATCTGTTCTCCAAGGTAAATTCTGTACATACACTTTATAAAACCAGTTTATTTCTTTACATTTTCTATTATGTTTTTATACATTATTTCTTATTTATAAATACAGTGGACCCCCGCTTAACGATCACCTCCCATTGCGACCAGTTATGTAAGTGCGATTGTAAGTGTATGTTTGGGGGTCTGAAATGGACTAACCTACTTCACAATATTCCTTATGGGAACAAATTCGGTCAGTACTGGCACCTGAACATACTTCTGGAATGAAAAAATATCGTTAACCGGGGGTCCACTGTACATTGTTTCAGTGTTTTCCTTATGAAAGTAGTGATCTAGTGCAGTTAGCCTCACAAACACTCCATTTTCAGAAGGGAAAGATATGGTCAGAGTGGGAGTGGCCGCCACCACTCGTCACATAATGACGTGCAGGTCTCCCTCAACATTCACAAGGGTTAGGGGATCAAGAACCTTGTAAATGTTGAAAAATCGTGAATGTTTGGTGCAACAATATATTGTAGGGAAATATAATACAATACTGCTTCCTTAACCTTTGAACCATGAACATTCATAAAATACATGGAAACACAAAATATTGTACTATATACATGAATGTTATAGTTTAATAACTGTTTTTTTTTTTTCGCCGGTATTCTCCCGGCCCGGGTCTTTTCCAAGTAGTGGTGACCCGGCCTTGGCTCCCTATCTGGGGAGTGTCTCGAGACTTATGTCTCCCATGGGAGGAGGTACAAGTACCCCCTCATCTTTGGGACCAACTGTCCCCAGGCCTAGCGAACATGTGTTATTAAATACCACTGCCTCAACCACTGTGGTGCACTGCCTCGTATTTTTGTACAATTTCTTTCTTCAATTCTATGATGTTTTTCAATTTCTTTACCAAAGGGCTGGCACTAGCAAGTTTCTTTGGGCTCATGGTTAATTATGTAGCAGTCGCACTCAATCTACAAACACCAAACACAATGAATTATTGTGAAATGTTTGGAAGAACACAGAGGCTAATGCTCACTCCAACATAAAGAAAACCACACTGACTCACATTGCCTCAACCACTGCCTCCACCACTGCTTCAACCCTCGTATTTTTGTACAATTTCCTTCTTCAATTCTATCATATTATTATTATTATTATATTATTAGCAGTAGCAGTAGCAGTAGCAGAAATGTTCAATTCTTTGCCATGTTCAAGAGTAAAGAGATGATGTCACCGTCCAATACCTGTCCAAATGGCCATTCCAATATGCAGTCATGAATGGGTTGATATTATTTATACTGTAGTTTAATAGCAAATAATGAACAAACAAATAGATGGATGCATTGCTGCATCCATCTACAGTTACATTATCATCCTTTTTTTTTTTTTTTTTTTTTTTTTTTACCTAAAAAAATTCCTTTGGCTTTTTTTGGAGGTGTAAGGATGTAACCCTATTATTCCCATAAGTTCTTCAGTTGATTTTACATGATATTTTATTGACATGCCATTTTCATTAGATAACTACTCTGTTATTATTATAATCACGAGGGAGCACTAAACCTTTAGGATTATACAGCACATGTGGGGGATGGGATGGAAGGTATTCAGGCTTAATTCAGGGAGCTGAAGCACAGATCCAATTCCCTAAATCAAGAGCCCGTCACCAGTGTCAAGGAACCTCCTTTGAGGGGTAACTACCTGGTTAATTGAGTCATCTGCATGTATGCAGTATTTGGGTTGGAAGATAGTAAGGATAGGGGGTTAACCCAGGAACAGTTGGAGGGATGGGGGAAAAAGGAAGCTTTGAATTTTAGGGGTTTGAGCATCCGGCAAGCTTGTGTGAGTTAGATAGGGGTGAATGGAGATAATTGGTTTTTAATAGACATGGTGTTGTAATATGAGTAACCCTTAATAGTATATATATTATGTAGAGCAGTTAATGTTGATCAGTCTCCATTCTCTATACACCATTTCATTTATTCAAAGCAAAATATACAAATAGTTTATGCATTTTTTCAGTGTTACACATCCTCCATACTTTTAGATGTCAAACATAAAATGGTGTTTGGAAACTTTTTTAAATTTTAGCTTGATTATCATTTGTACTGTACTGTACATAACATTTTTCAATTCTGTATCTTCTTGTATATTACAAATTTTTTTTCCTGAAGTGCATAAAAACTGTTAGTGAATATGCATTGGTTAAGTTGGAGAGGTACAGAAGCTGAAGATATTTGCAAGTTTTATAATTGAAAGAAGGAAATTGGATTACATATCTCTGATTAATAGCAAGTATTAACCCTTGTGGTGTCAATCCCATTATATCATGGCTTTGAAGCCAGTGTCAGTCCCGTAGTATGACGCCATGAGCTCTGCTCACTCAGAAAAGCTGTGAATGGTAAATTTGGGCCTAGATATAAAAGAATGGGTCTATGTGGTAAGTATGCACCATATAAAAAAAAATCCTGCAGCTGGCAATGCATAATGAGTAAAAAATACAACTGCGCTTTTGGTTTAAAACAGCGAATTTACGGTGTATTTTCACATGGTTTTTATGGTTGTATTCTTGGTTTTTTAATCTCATTTTATAGAATGAAGATATATTACAGAAACAGAGATGATTTTGATTAGTTTCAGGACTGAAAATAGCTTGAAATTGAGCTCAAAGTAGTGGAAATGTTCAATTTTTGCCAATATTCCGGAGTACACACTTGTCCAATACGCGCCCAACTGGCCAGTCTAATATGCATTTAGGAATGCACTGAGATTAGTTATACAATTATTACAATAATGCAGTAGTCTGCAGAACAGTAAATCTTCTATTTTTTGTGTGAATAAAAATTCAAAATGAAAAGCAAGTGTAATATAAGAGGGGCCTGAAGATGTGACTAAGGAACAGAGGAAATGTTTATTTAGTGCAAGAAATATTCTGTTTATTCTGGACCCTATTTTCAAATTGGCAATTGGTAGGTAAGACACATAGGCAACAGTTAGGCAACTTTATTCCGAAACGTTTCGCCTACACAGTAGGCTTCTTCAGTCGAATACAGAAAGTAGGCAGGAACAGTAGAGATGTGAAGACGATGTGATCAGTCCATCACCCTTGAAGTCGTAGAATTTGAGGTTGTCAGTCCCTCGGCCTGGAGAAGTTCAGTTCCATAGTCAGATAGTTCCTGACTATGGACTGACTTCCCAGCCCGAGGGATGACACTCATTTAGCTTCAGGGTGATGGACTGATCACATCGTCTTCACATCTCTACTGTTCCTGCCTACTTTCTGTATTCGACTGAAGAAGCCTACTGTGTAGGCGAAACGTTTCGGAATAAAGTTGCCTAACTGTTGCCTATGTGTCTTACCTACCAACCTGTCAGTATTGTATACCATTTTGATGTTCAAATTGGCAATTGTTGAATTTTGTATGAAATTGGCCAAATTACCGATTCCTGATCACTTTGTTGAATAGGTAAATGGGTGGTTTCTTGTACTCAGTCAATAGAATAGAAGGAATACTAGCAAAATAGCTAGGCATTTGGTGGACTGGAACAATGGAATTGGCCAAAAATAGAGTGCAAAGTCAGCAAAATTGCTGATGCGTAAATATTGCTGAGACTGCTAACTTTGTGAGAACATAATTCCATACGTTTTTCATCAAATTTCATACTTTTGGTTTCATTACCTCCAAAAAAAGATTCTCTATCATTATTTTTTCTTAATTCTTTGACCCTGAGAGCAAGTTTGAAAGCAGGAGTTTTGACACCGAAAGGGTTAATAATAAGGTCTATGATTATATGGCAAACAAGCAAATAACTGCATTGGGGATATGGCTTTGCATTTACAGATATTAAAAACTACTTAAAATTTATTTTAATGCAGTACTGATGCTCGTTTTTAACCATCAGGGTCGAGGTGAAGATCACGATTGTACATAACCCTGAGCGCCAGTGGCACAAGACATTCTTGGTGGTGCTTGGTCCTGATGATCCCATTAATGCTGAACTTGGCAGTATAATTTCTGCAACCATCACAATATTAGACCATGAATCATCTGGGAGCTCAGTTCTCCCTGCACCACCTGTTGTTATTTCTCTGTTGCATTATGATAACATTGAAGAACATCTTGGGGAACCTGCAAGTCCTGGGTACCCACTAGTGTGTGTCACCCCTTGTAACATGAAATACCCAGAGAGTGCTGTTACTGCTGAGATGTGTGCTGAGGCAGGGTTAAACTCCACTTCCCTACAGTACTCATGGGAGGTTGCTGTTCCTGCTGATGGTGATGGTAGCCTTACTCCCTTCCATTCACTTACAGATAACACTTTGTTTGCCAGTGCACACAGTAAGGTGTTAGATTCAATGTTCTTTGCTCGACACTTCTGGGTACGATGTATTGCTCAACCTGTTAAGAGTGATGGTGTCCTGGGAATACCTTTGCGGAGTAAAGCAATTTCTGTTGGCATTCAAAATGGGATATGTCAGAAGCCACTCGTGCCAGGTCAACCTGGTGGATTTCAAAGCCAGTCCTTCATAGCAGCTCTTTCATACATCAATTCTACGGATGATACTCACCCTAATACAGTTAAGATTTACGTGGAGATTCCCCATCAAGATGGTATGGTTCCTGTGCTGTCAACTCTTCCAATCCACAACTTGCGATATCTTTTGACTGAGGAACTCTACAGAGTGCATCATATGTGCTCCAACCTTGTTCCTGGGGTTGGCTTTCTAGATGAGACTCCTACACAATATCCACCTAACCCAAGACCTCACCAATGGAATGAAAACTTGAGAGAAGTAAGCCTGAGCTTATTTTACAAAATCATTAAAAAATGAAGTTTTTGATGTTATGAGAAAAAGAATAAAAGTATATCGATATAAATTTATAGCATGAAATATAATAGATAGTTAAATGCTCATTTATACTTGCATTTTTTGTAGTAGAAACATACCTCTCAAAAATTCTTCGTCCCTTTAAGTTAATATAATAATCATCCTTGATAAATATTATAGTACTGCTGTAATATTGTTCTTATTCCAGAACAAATCATTGCTCCTGTATCATCACCTGAATCTGAAGAGCTGTATGTGGACCTTCTCAGCTTGGTTCTCCATGTCACAGTTGGTGGACCGTTGTGGTGGTCAAGTTGTTTCAGATTTTCAGGTGTGTTCTCAGTATTGGAGTAAGTTCCTATTTGTGATAATAGCAGAGTTAATTGTGGTGTTGCAGCTTCAACATTTAGTCAGTTGTAAAAAAAATTAAAGTTACTAGTGGTCATAGTATTTGATGGGGTTGGGAACTTCAATTTTTTCATATCCTTTCATAATCTCAACTTAATGTGGTATCATGTCACCTCTTTTCCTCCTATCAGCCAAAGATGATATATCTATTGTTTTCAATCCTCCTTCAGAACTCATATTTTCATATTTTGTTTATGTATGTTTTACATGTAGACAGTATATTACCACTAAAAACAAAAAGATCTTGCTCATACCACAAATAATATGAAAGAAGACCACTGCATATTACATCATATTAAGTTTGAGAAATGTGTTCTCTGGTTAAATGATGATGGAATCAATCAGAATTCTGGTTAATAATGGGTGGTGAAATAATGTGTGGAAAATTATTGTAAAGATACTGTTAACCCCTTGAGGGTCCGTGCCGTAGATATACGGCTTTACGTTGAGAGTCCAAACTGTAGATCTACGTTATGAGCTCAGCTCGCTCTGATAAGCTGTGAGCGTTAAATTTTGGCCTTGATATGAGAGAATACATCTATGTGGTATGTGTACACCACATAAAACAAATCTTGCAGCACATAGTGCATAATGAGAGAAAAAACTGAGACTGTAATTTTCGATTAAAACATCGACTTTGCATTGGTTTTTCGTATGTTTTTTATAGTTGTATTTGCGATTTCTTGGTCTCATTTGATAGAATGGAAGACATATTACAGAAATAGAGATGATTTTGATTGGTTTTAGTACTGGAAATGGCTTGAAACTGAGCTCAAGGTAGCGGAAATGTTAAATTTTTGCCGATGTTCAAGAGTAAACAAATGACCTCACACATCTAATACACGCCTGCTGGTGGGTCTGATATACTTTCCCAAATGTGCTGATACTATTTATACAATTATTACAATATTGCATAACAGTAAATCTTCTATTTTTTGGTTTGAATAAAAATTAATTATGTGAATAAAAAATCAAAATGGAATTCATTAGTAAAGCCTGAAAACATAACTAATGAACAGAGGAAATGTTAGTTTAGTGCCAGGAATGCCTGCATTGTTTATTCTGGACCCTATTTTGAAATTGGAGTATTTTGAACTTTGCATTAAACTGGCCAAATTACCAATTTCCGATCACTTTATTTTGTAGTTGAAACATTTGACTTGGCGAATTCTTATGCTCAGTCGATAGAATAGAAGTAATACTAGTGAAATAGCTAAGAATTTGGTTGACTGGAATAATGTAATTGGCCTAAAATGGGAGTCAAAGTCGCAAAATCGCAGATGCGTAAATATCACCGACACATCAAAATTCGCGAGAGCATAATTTCGTCAATTTTCCATCAAGTTTCGTACTTTTTGTTTTATTACCTTCAGAAAAAGATTCTCTACCATTTCATAAGAAAAAAATAACAAAATTATTTTTTGAAAATTCTTGGACACTGGTGCACCCTTTGAAATTTGACCTCTGGACCCTGAAAGGGTTAAACACCATGCATTCTAGAATTACCACATAGTACAACAGGCCAACAACCACTTAAAGTGCTGAGTTTACCACACAGTACAGAATATACAATATGCTAAAAATACCAGCCAGCAATACAAAGTCACCACATTTAGTGAAACTATTCCTTAAAGAAAATGAACTGTACATATGAAAATGTGCATTGTTTGACCATATAAACAGAGAGAGAGGTCCTTCTACATCAGGTGCATGAGGACTCTGAGATATAGTACTCTGATTTCCTGAAATGTCAGTCTGGTTTCCAGATTGACTAACTGTGGAGTGCCTCTGATAGTACTCTGTTCTTGATGCAGGATTGTCTCCTACGTGGGCACGTTATTGTATTAATGGAGTGGTGGGGGTGCTAGTCCTAGGAGGCAACCAGGTCTGGCCCAAGGAAGAGGAGGTAAGGCTCAATTCCTTGGATCAAGAGCCCTTTGCCAGCATCAAGAAAACTGAGCAGTTGAGTGGGCACAGAGGAATCTGATTGCCCAGCAGTTATGTGTGTTGCTTGAGAAATTGTGGATCAGTGGTGTCTTATCTGCTCATGTTTGGTGGTCTCATGCATAGAGGCTATGTTTGCTAGCATTCTGCTGCATCTGGAGACAGCTCTGACTAATACCAGGGTCTAGGTCAGGGGTGGGCAGATTTTCCAGTGCAGGGGCCACATTCAGAAATTCACAGGTAATGTGTTAATGTTCCATAATATTATTTGGCATTATGGTAACTTTTTTCAGATTTACTAACATTTTTGTCCTCAAATAACGTAAGTACATATATGACTAGATCTTGGCGGGCCATATGTAAACCTTTGGCAGGTCGCATGTGGCCCGTGGGCCATAGTTTGTCCATTGCTGGTCTTAGGTACAGCAGGATCTATGACTGTTTCCACTTTTATGGAATTTTCATACACAAAATGAAGAGGTAAAAATGTGTCTACTCACCTATCATCTCCTGGCCCCAACTTTCAACTTGCCACTTTCCAGATACACTCCCTCTTAGCCTTGTGAGCCATAGTGTACCTACTCTTTAAACTATGTATGGAGCCTGCCTCCACCACTTCATTGATATTATTCTACTTCCGGATCACCCTGAAACTGAAGAAATGCTTCCTGACATCCCTGTGGCACACCTGTAGCTTTAAACATTCAGCTGCATCCTTGAATACCTGTTTAGATGCCTCTCAAGCAGCCTGTCCTTGTGTACCCTATCACTTCCCTTGAGTACATATTTTATTGCCATGTCTTTCTGATTCTTCTGTCCTCATGTGTCATTAGATTCAACTCCATTAGTCTCTTCTTGTAGCTCATGCCCCTTAGCTCAGGAACATGTCTCACTACTTCTGCACTTTCTCCAGTTTCTTAACTTGCCTTTTCAGGTGTGGGTTCCATACTAGTGCTGCATACTCAAAGATGGGCCTGACATGTATAAAGAGCCTGGAATGTCTCTGTTGATATTCTTGATGAGCATTGGCTGCATTGATGCTAGCCTCCGGTAATAAACCAGGCATTATAATCACCCCAAAGTCTTTTTGTGTGAGTGAGGTCTACAGCCTCTATTTCCTTCCCCTTCCCCTCAAGTCTTCTTGTTCCTTCCCCATTCATTACCTTGCATTTACTGGGTTTGAATTCAATCAACCACATCTGACCAATCTTGGAGTTTGTCCAGATTCCTTTGGAACCTTTCCTTATCCTTAATTTTTTATTCTCTTCTTCAGCAAACAGGGATACATCTGAATCAATCCCATCTGGAATGTGATACATATAACATATCAGTGTATGTTTACATTAGCTAGAGTGGTTAAAAACAGTTGGACTTTCTGTAAAATAAATTTTCAATGTTTCTTCTTGTGGTGTGATAGAAATACTGTATAAGAGGCCCTCCACATTCACAAGGGTTAAGGGATCAAGAACCTCGCAAATCTTGAAAATTTGTGAATGTTTGGCACGCGAATGTGATGTAGGGAAACGTAATTATACTGTACAGAAGTGTTTGCAAATGTTTTGATGTGCAAATATATTGTAGGGAAATATAATAGCATTTACTTAGCCTAATAATACTGCTTCCTTAACCTATTGAACCATGAACAATCGTAAAACACATGAAAACATTGTAAAATATTGTATATTATAGAACTAGAGATGATTTTGAATGGTTTACGGACTAAAAGTACCTTGAAATTGAGCTCAAATTGGCAGCAATGTTCGATTTTTGCCAGAGTTCAAGAGTAAACAAATCATATCATATGTCCAATACACGTCAACTGCTGGGTCTAATATGCTTTCAAATGCGCTGATATAAATTTATACCATTTTTACAATAATGCAGTAGTATGCATAACAGTAAATTCTATTTTTTTTTTTTTTTTTTTTTTTTGTGAATAAAATTCAAAATGGAAAGCAAGCGTAATATAAGAGGGGCCTGGAGACATGGCTAATGAACATAGAAAATGTTATTTTAGTGCTAGGAATGTTTGCATTGTTAATTCTGGACCCTGTTTTGAAATTGGCCTTCCTTGAATTGTGTATGAAATTGGCCAAATTACCAAATTCTGATCACTTTATTGGGTAGTTGAAATTGGTAAATGGGCAGTTTCCTGTATTCACTCAATAGAAAGGAGTTCTAACGAAATAGCTATGAGTTTGGTTGATTGGAACAATGGAATTGGCCGAAAATAGGGCTCAAAGTGGGCAAAGTGTAAATGTCGCCGAGACCACTATCTTCACAAGAGCGTAATTCCTTAAGTTTTCCATCAAATTTCACACTTTTGGTGTCATTACCATCAGGAAAAGATTCTCTATCATTTCATTAGTTTTTTTTTTTTTTTTTTAATTCTTCAACACTGAGAGCAAATTTGTGAGTAGGGGGTCTCGACAGTGAAAGGGTTAAACAGAGATCTTATGAGAACTATGCCCTTTAATTTAGAAAAAAAATATTCTATAGAATATCAAATATGTAAAACAAAAGAAGCAGTAATTTCTTAGTAATGTTCTCCAATTAGTATTTAACCCTTTGACTGTCGTGGCCATATATATACGTCTTACGAGGTACCGTGTTTGACATATATTTTTTTTTTTTTTTATTATCACACTGGCCGATTCCCACCAAGGCAGGGTGGCCCGAAAAAGAAAAACTTTCACCATCATTCACTCCATCACTGTCTTGCCAGAAGGGTGCTTTACACTACAGTTTTTAAACTGCAACATTAACACCCCTCCTTCAGAGTGCAGGCACTGTACGTCCCATCTCCAGGACTCAAGTCCGGCCTGCCGGTTTCCCTGAATCCCTTCATAAATGTTACTTTGCTCACACTCCAACAGCACGTCAAGTATTAAAAACCATTTGTCTCCATTCACTCCTATCAAACACGCTCACGCATGCCTGCTGGAAGTCCAAGCCCCTCGCACACAAAACCTCCTTTACCCCCTCCCTCCAACCTTTCCTAGGCCGACCCCTACCCCGCCTTCCTTCCACTACAGACTGATACACTCTTGAAGTCATTCTGTTTCGCTCCATTCTCTCTACATGTCCGAACCACCTCAACAACCCTTCCTCAGCCCTCTGGACAACAGTTTTGGTAATCCCGCACCTCCTCCTAACTTCCAAACTACGAATTCTCTGCATTATATTCACACCACACATTGCCCTCAGACATGACATCTCCACTGCCTCCAGCCTTCTCCTCGCTGCAACATTCATCACCCACGCTTCACACCCATATAAGAGCGTTGGTAAAACTATACTCTCATACATTCCCCTCTTTGCCTCCAAGGACAAAGTTCTTTGTCTCCACAGACTCCTAAGTGCACCACTCACTCTTTTTCCCTCATCAATTCTATGATTCACTTCATCTTTCATAGACCCATCCGCTGACACGTCCACTCCCAAATATCTGAATACGTTCACCTCCTCCATACTCTCTCCCTCCAATCTGATATTCAATCTTTCATCACCTAATCTTTTTGTTATCCTCATAACCTTACTCTTTCCTGTATTCACCTTTAATTTTCTTCTTTTGCACACCCTACCAAATTCATCCACCAATCTCTGCAACTTCTCTTCAGAATCTCCCAAGAGCACAGTGTCATCAGCAAAGAGCAGCTGTGACAACTCCCACTTTGTGTGTGATTCTTTATCTTTTAACTCCACGCCTCTTGCCAAGACCCTCGCATTTACTTCTCTTACAACCCCATCTATAAATATATTAAACAACCACGGTGACATCACACATCCTTGTCTAAGGCCTACTTTTACTGGGAAAAAATTTCCCTCTTTCCTACATACTCTAACTTGAGCCTCACTATCCTCGTAAAAACTCTTCACTGCTTTCAGTAACCTACCTCCTACACCATACACTTGCAACATCTGCCACATTGCCCCCCTATCCACCCTGTCATACGCCTTTTCCAAATCCATAAATGCCACAAAGACCTCTTTAGCCTTATCTAAATACTGTTCACTTATATGTTTCACTGTAAACACCTGGTCCACACACCCCCTACCTTTCCTAAAGCCTCCTTGTTCATCTGCTATCCTATTCTCCGTCTTACTCTTTCTTTCAATTATAACTCTACCATACACTTTACCAGGTATACTCAACAGACTTATCCCCCTATAATTTTTGCACTCTCTTTTATCCCCTTTGCCTTTATACAAAGGAACTATGCATGCTCTCTGCCAATCCCTAGGTACCTTACCCTCTTCCATACATTTATTAAATAATTGCACCAACCACTCCAAAACTATATCCCCATCTGCTTTTAACATATCTATCTTTATCCCATCAATCCCGGCTGCCGTACCCCCTTTCATTTTACCTACTGCCTCACGAACTTCCCCCACACTCACAACTGGCTCTTCCTCACTCCTACAAGATGTTATTCCTCCTTGCCCTATACACGAAATCACAGCTTCCCTATCTTCATCAACATTTAACAATTCCTCAAAATATTCCCTCCATCTTCCCAATACCTCTAACTCTCCATTTAATAACTCTCCTCTCCTATTTTTAACTGACATATATATACTCATAAATTCTAGCGGCTTCAAATCAAGCAGGAGAAAGCTGGTAGGCCCACATGTGAGAGAATGGGTCTGTGTGGTCAGTGTGCACCATATAAAAAAAATCCTGGAGCACGCAGTGCATAATGAGAAAAAAAAACTCCGACCGTTTTTTTTTTAATTAAAATGCCGACTTTGTGGTCTATTTTCATATAGTATTTATGGTTGTATTCTCGTTTTCTTGGTCTCATTTGATAGAATGGAAAACATATTATAGAAATAGAGGTGATTTTGATTGATTTTACTATAAAAAGAACCTGGAAATGGAGCTCAAAGTAGGGGAAATGTTTGATTTTTGCCAATGTTCAAAAGTAAACAAATGATGTCATTGTCCAATAAATGTCCAACTAGCCATTCTAATATGCAGTCATGAATGGGTTGATGTTATTTATACAATTATTACAGTATTGCAGTAGTCTGCATAATAGTAAGTCTTCTATTTTTTGTTTGAATAAAAATTCAAAATAGAAAGCAAGAGTAATATCAGAGGGGCCTGGAGACATGACTGATGAACAAATTATTATTATAATCAAAAAGAAGCGCTAAGCCACAAGGGCTATACAGCGCTGCACTGATGAACAAAGAAAATGTTATTTTAGAGCCAGGAATGTCTGCATTGTTCATTCTGGACCTTATTTTGAAATTGTCATATTTTTTAATTTTCGTGAAATTGGCCAAATTGCAAATTTCTGACCACATTATTGGGTAGTTGAGATCAGTAAATGGGCAGTTTCTTGTACTCAATCGATAGAAAAAATGGAGTTCTAAAGAAATAGCTATGAGTTTGGTCGACTGGAACAGCGGAATTAGCCGAAAATAGGGCTCAAAGTGGGCAAAATCGCCGATTTGTAAATATCGCCGAGGTCGCTAACTTCACGAGAGCATAATTCCATCAGTTTTCCATCAAATTTTGGTTTTTTTGTGTGTCATTACAATCGGGAAAAGATTCTCTTATCATTTCATAAGAAAAAATTTTTTTTTTTTTTTTAAATTTTGCGACACCAGGAGACACCTCAGGATTGGGGGTTGCGACAGTCAAGGGGTTAATATTTTTATATCTAATTATTATACTTTTGTCTGACTTGACACATTTTTAACACTGTACCATTTCCTTCAGGTTGGTTCAGGTGGACAAAGTTTTCTAACAGTGCGAGTGCCTCTGTACATTTCTTATGTTTATGCAACATCACCTCCAGGCTGGACATCAGTTGATCACAGAACAGAACTTTCTGTGTCTCTCTACTATAACACACTCCTGTGGCATCACGGTCTACATACACAGCCTACACTTACAGCTAAGATACAGGTGAAGAATACTTAACATACTTGATTGTTTTAAGTTACTCTACCTTAATTTCAGACCTGAAATCTTGAATAGTCATTTTAAAAGCTTGCAGGGCCAGTACAGCATCAACAATTACTCAATGACCAGAATCTGCAACCGATATATTTTGTTTAAAAAGTTTCATTAAATCCTTGCCATTTGCATGGGTTACATTCCATGAGAATCCCATGCATGGCAAGATGTTATTGTAGTGAAAAATAAAAAAGTTAGAAACCAAGAGTTAAAGACATCTTTCTACTTTAGATATAATTTTTATGTAAAAAAATAAATATTTTATAGGAGGACTTTTCAGTATCATTTGCTCTGAATTCTTAGGTTGAGAGAGGGCACATGAATAAAACTGCAAAATGTAACTGGGTTGAAGTAGTGTATTTATTTAGCAATATTAGTTCATTAATTTGAATTAAGGGTGTGTAAAGGTAGAAAATTGAAAGTGAACATAGATAAGAGTAAGTTGATGAGGGTATCAAACAATTTAGATATAGAAAAATTGGATATCACATTGGAGGGAGGGAGTATGGAAAAGTGAATATGTTCAGATACTTGGGAGTTGACTTGTCAGCAGATGGGTTTATGAAGGATGAGGTAAACCATAGAATTGATGAAGAAAAAAAGGTGAGTGGTATATTGAGGTATCTGTGGACACAAAGAACGTTATCTATGGAGGCAAAGAATGGAATGTGCTAAAGTATAGTGGTACCAACACTCTTATGTGGGTGTGAAGAATGGTTTGTAAATGCTGCAGGCAGTGGAGATGTCGTGTCTAAGGGCAATGTGTGGTGTATATATTATGCAGAGAATTCATAGTGTGGAAATTGGGAGGTGTGGAGTTACTAAGAGTATTCGTCAGAGGGCTGAAGAAGGGTTGTTAAGGTGGTTTGGTCATTGAGAGAGAATGAAACAAAGTAAAATGACTTGGAGAGTGAATAAATCTACTATAGGGGAAGGAAGGCGAGGTAGGGGTCATCCTTAAAAAGGTTGGAGGGAGGGGGTAAAGGAGATTTTGTGAGTGAGGATCTTGGACTTCCAGCAAGCATGCATGAGCGTGTTAATGGGAGTGAATGGAGACGAATGGTTTTTGGGACCTGATGAGCTGTTGGAGTGTGAGCAGGGTAATATTTTGTGAAGGGATTCAGGGAAACTGGTTAGCCAGACTTGAGTCCTGGAAATGGGAAGTACAATGCCTGCACTTTAGAGGGGTTTGGGATATTGGCAGTTTGGAGGGACGTCTAAACTGTCGTATCTGGGTGCCTCTGCAAAGTCAGTGATTATGTATGAGTGATGGTGAAAGTGTTGAATGATGATTAAATTTTTTCTTTCATTTTGGGTTACCCTGCCACAGTGGGAAACGGCCGATGTGTTAAAATAAAAAATGCATTTGAGGATTAAATTAATCTCATGTCAGCCTCACCTGATTAATGGCAAGTTGCTGTTCCACCACATATACTGTGCAACACAGCAAGTGCAATAAGCAACAAAATATTGCCTTTTTTGCATCATGTGTTGGCAGAGGAATACAGTGGAGTGAAGCCTCAGTATACATAAATGATATTCATATTAATTATTGCCCTGATGCTGGGTCACCTTACTATGATGGCTGGGTTAAAGTGCCATAGTTATTCTTATAATCATTGAAAGTGCCAAACCTGTAAGGGTCACTTAGTGTTGCATAACAGGAAAAGTGAAAGACATTGGGAGGGAAGTCATGGTATTAAAGAAAGGATATTGGCTGAGAAGATGGTCACAGTTGGTATAGCAAGCTGGGGTTATTAAATAAAATCATAGTGAGTTTGCATCAAAGGTGGGACTCTTAGAAAGAAGGGTGGGCAATGGAAGCATGTCAGAGAAAAAGTCACAGTGCTGTGGCTGGAATGCATCACCAAAAACCCATACTTGGGAGAGCAGCTTAAATGTGGATTTTTGGTGATAAGTGTGTCAGGGTGGCAAAAAAAAAAAGTGTTTGTTGAGAGGCTCAAGTGGCTGAGTAAGAATACACAAACTCATCTTTCAAACTAAATAGTGGAGAGAATTTCCCTTTTATTAAAATTTGCTGCAACTTCAAACAAATTATGGATATGGTTTTGACTGCAACTAGTGGACTTTGTATGTTTTCTGATTATATTGTGATTATGGTATACTGTATACGATGCTGAATAACAGTAAATTAGTTATGATAGAAATTTTTATTGATTGTAAGAAATTAATAATGAGGTTAGCAAGTTTTAATGTTAAAATCCCTACACAATCAAATTGTTCTAGTGCTTCGTAAATCATCCACAATAATGTGATAGGAATAAGTCTCACACAACTGCATTTATGTGATTTTCTGGCATTAACATTTTGTTTATATGGCAAAAGATCAAAGGGTAACAATAATTTTTTTTTTAGGCTTTTATTATTTTATATCAATTATTGGACCTGCTTTTCATTTAGCCCATTTTAATTACTTTGCATTTTTTTTTAATCGGCCGTCTCCCATCAAGGCAGGGTGGGAGACAGCCAGCAACATCATTCACGTATAATCACTGTCTTAGCAGAGGCGCCAAGGTACAACAATTCAGATGTCACTCAGAACAGCATTTATCTACATTAAATTCCATTACATCTGCTCCATGTAGTTTAGCGCTTCTTTTTGATTACAATAATAATAATTGCTCCATGTATTTAAATAATCTTGTAAACTTTTACAGTTGCATGTATTTTGATTTCATACTTTGCTTATGATTGGTGCACATCTCCTAACACTGTATACTCAGCCTACTGAACATGTGATGCACATGTTTTCTCCCTGCACTCTGGACATAAAGTAGCTGCATATAAAAACTTAACCTGTTTCTACCTTCAGATAACAAGAATATCCATTGATGAATCTGGTAGGTTGGTAATTGACTTGAAGACCATGGCAAAGTTCCGTGGTCAGTTTGTATTACATCATCCACATCTGGAGGACTATTCATCCCATCTCAAGGCTCCAGAAGAATTAGATATTCAATTCTCTCTTGAGCTTTTATGGACAGCTGCTACTTGGGATGGCCCAGAACAGGTAATTATTGTGTTAATATAAATGTTAATTTTCGAGGAAAGGAAGCCTGTGGCTTTGTTTGCTACAGTGAAAAAGAGGCTAGAGACAGTGGAGATATCATGTTTGAAAGCAGTGTGTGGTGTGAATGTCATGTGGAGAATTTATAGTGTAGAAATCAAAAGGCATTGTGAGGGGTGACCAAGGGTATGATTCAGAGATGAGATGATTTGGGCATGTAGAGAGGATGGACAGGGATAGGTTGATGAAGGTGTATAAATCAGGTAGAAGGGCTCTTCCCAGGAATGGTTGGAGAGGTGGGTACAAGAGGTTTATGTGTTAGGGTCTTGAGCATCCAGCAGGCTTGTGCAAGCATGTTAGATGGGAGTAAATAGAGACCAAGTGGTCTTTAATGAATGTACTACTGTAGTGTGAACAGGATAAATTTTATGAAGGGATTCAAGGCAACAAGTTTGACAGATCTGAGTCCTTGTAGATCAATGGTTCAGAGAACCGACATGTTGATAAATTAGACACATGTGCAACTCTTTGGTATCTTTATTGAGGAAACGTTTCGCCACACAGTAGCTTCATCAGACCATACAAAGGAGAAACTTGAAGAACAGGAGGAAAATGAGGTAATCAGTCCCTCAGCCTTGAGTCCTAATGGTGGGAAGGGCAGTAGTGCCCACACTCTGAAGGAGGGGTGGGGATGTTGCAGTCAGAGGGTAATCTAATCATGATAGCAGCACACTTGTAGAAAGATGGTGATTGAGTGAATGTAAGTATTTTCTTTTAAGGGGTCACCTTGCCTTGGCAAGAGATAGCCGTTGATTAAAAAAACAAAAAAAAAAAAAAAAAAAAAATTTCCAAGCACACTGTGAACTGAAGTACTGTACAGTGTTGGCATCAACAGCTTTGGGAAGTAAATTTGTACATTATTATTACAAAGGATGTACCAAAGTATTGCTGTCAGTGGGTAGCAGTTATGAAGGAATTGGTACCAGCCTAACATTGAAGATTAGTATTGGCAAAAATTTTGGTTTCATCCTATCACTTAATCACAGAGAATGGAAAGGAGAAGTAATCAGGTTTGATCCAAGGAAAAGGTAGTGTAGCTCCAGTTCCAGACTATCGCCAGTGATCCTTAAATGACACAGTATCAATTACACACTGATGAAAACAGGTAATTAATATTTGTACTTGAAATTATGTATCTAATAGCAATTCATATAGTAGTGTCATTGAATGTTCAATATCTTAAGTGTTTACAAATTATCTTCATTGTTACTTGTTTGAAGAATTGCCAGCTCTGTAACCCTCGATCTCTCATTATATTTGCGATGTTTTAATACTAGGATGATTATCATTACCCAGCATTTAACTTTTTCCAGTGATACGTAATGTATTTAAAGTGCAGGTCTACAATATTGCATCTATATTTTTTTAATTTACTGTATATGAAAAATACGTAATCATCCTAAGGACATTATATATTTGTATTAAAAAATTAAGGAATTTATGCAAGAAATAACAATATTTTTAAAATCTTTAATATTTTATTAGGTATGGAGAGCCACTAGCAATTATAACCTCAAGGACTATACTGGAGAGTACATCTTTGAGCTGATCCCTTGCACTGTGGCTCCAACCCAAGCTTACACTGTGGCTGATCCACTTCCATGCACACCTCATCCCCCAACAACTTTTCCATTGCCTATTGCTATTCAACAAACACATCGTCCTGTTCCTCTTGTCTACACCCTCAACACAGACTTCCAGCTCCTAAACAGTCCAACTATGTTCCTCATGGATCCAAGAATGGTTGATAACTTGCAGGTAGGAACCGTTTATACATTAATAATGTACTTCTAAATGCTTTCTTTCTTTGCAGACTAATTTTTATATGTTCAGGTAGGTGATACATGCAGTTTTTACTTAGTCCTATGAACATTGTGTATACTTTGACAAGTTTAATTTTTTGTATATATAAGCATGCATTTAAAGGAAATTTCATATCTTCAAAGTATTTCATGTTTATAGTTAAATGTCACACATGCAAATAAGTTTTTGTAAAAATTCTTCTAAAACAAACTTTTAGATTATCTGAAATTTTAGAATACTTGCATGATTCAAACTCGGGTCTTAAGAGTTTCCATTTTGAAACAGTAATGTAAAACGCTTAGTTGTAAATGTGTACCTTGGAGTACTTAGTACTGGTTGAAGCATACTCCCATAAGAATTTTTTGTATTCCAAATCAAGAGGGTCAGACAGAGATGCTACAAACAGATGGAAATATAAAAATGGAAGGATTGGCAGAGAACATGCATAATTCCTTGATTATTATTATAATCAAAAAGAAGTGCTAAGCCACAAGGGCTATACAGCCATAATTCCTTGAAATATGGGAAAAGGAGGGGCAAGAGAAAAATGTAAAAATTATAGGGAAATAAGCCTGTTGACTGTACCTATCCTGTTTGCAGATGACACAAATTTTGTCATTTCCCACCCAAATCCAATTTCTCTCAATAACACTGTTAATGAGGAGCTCATAAAGATATCTACCTGGATGACTACTGGCAAACTCACTTTTTAACAATTTATAAGACCTTGTACATGATGTCTGGCAAAAGAGCATCAAATTTCCAAGTCAATGTTATGAGTAACTGTTCTCCCATTGCAAGACAAAATGGAGGAAAATTCTTAGGAACTCAATATTCATCATACACACACATTCAGCACATAAGTAAGGTATCCAAGTCAGTTGACGTCCTCTCCAAGATGCATTACTGTGTACTCTAATCTAACCCTACCTCACCTATGCTATTTATGCCTGGGGATCCACTACAGGAAATCACCTAAAGCAAATAATAACTCAACAAAATGCGGCAGTATGAATGTTCACCCACTCTACTGCCAGACTACACACTCCTCACTATTCAGAAATTTAAATTTACTAAATATACATAAAATTCACTTATGCTACTCTGCATACTACATATACAGGACAATCAATTTAACCCATAAACGGTCCAAACGTATATACAGTGGACCCCCGCTTAACAATCACCTCCCAATGTGACCAATTATGTAAGTGTATTTATGTAAGTGCGTTTGTACATGTATGTTTGGGGGTCTGAAATGGACTAATCTACTTCACAATATTCCTTATGGGAACAAATTCGGTCAGTACTGGCACCTGAACATACTTCTGGAATGAAAAAATATCGTTAACCGGGGGTTCACTGTATACGTTTTTTCAACATTTGAAAGTATGTAAAACAAGTAGATCTTTTTTTCTTTTTTTTTTTACATTTGAAAATATGTAAAAAAAACATAGATCTACTTTTGGAGCACTACACATGTGAACATAGATCTGCCTGGACTGTTTACGGGTTAAATATTAATCCTGCCCTGAAACTCTTCCTTTATAACAGTTGCAGGTTTAGCACTAGCTCTGATTATAATAATAATAATCTTTGATAGCTGTAACAGAACTCATAGGCATAACACAAGACACAAAAATCTCTATGATATTCCTCATGTCTGACTGAACCTGTGAGAAAACTCAGTGTACATAAAGGGCCCTAGAATCTGGAGCTCTTTACCTGAAAATTTCAGAGGTTCCTTATTTGCCAACCACTTCAGAACTACTGTTAAAAAGCACCTCCTTACCATAATGTGATACTGAAACCCTGTCTGTCATCCAATGTCCCTATTTTTATTCCATCTTTCCTTCAACTCTCATATTAATAGATAGGCATATACAATCTCTACATACTTTTGTCCTCTTCAAGGGGGGCTCCTTGGCATGGTGAAGAGGCTCTTGGTCTGAGGAATTAGACCTGTCGGTCTCCTTCCTCAGACCGAACCTAATTACCCCCCAATCCCCCCTTCCCTATCCCATCCTCCCCTTTTCCCTTTCCTCCTCCCCCTCCCCACCCCTCCCTTTTGCCCTTCCTCTTTTTGGCCTTTGGGATTTTTCCCACAGGCGCGCTAGTTCCTAGGTAGGGGAAAGGGTACCGGGGTCCATCCCATTCCGTTGAGGTTCTTGGCGGTGGCGTAGTTTGCCATGGAATCTGGATCGCCTGGGGATGTCACAATCCCTCTCTGGTATTCCGGAGCGTGGCTTTGGGTGTCTTTCGGGGACGGGTGTTTCTGGAAAACCCCCTTT